TCTCGGCCTGCGATGTCCCCAGCCTTGCTGTGGACGGGGAAGGTTGGCGATGCGTCTGTGTTCCGTGTCTGGGGATCTCGGGCGTTTGTCCGCGACTTGTCTGCGGACAAGCTGTCCCCTCGTGCTGCTCCCTGTGTCTTCCTTGGCTTCCCCACTGACGCCCCAGGGTGGCAGTTTTACCACCCCTCCTCTCGTCGTGTTTTGTCCTCCCAGGACGTCACGTTCGACGAGTCAGTCCCCTTCTACCGTCTCTTCCCCTACCGCACTCCTTCCCCCCCCCCCTCCCCCGGACTTCCTTGTGCCGGTTCCCCCCCCGGTAGACCCCCTCCCCCCTCAGGTTCCTGCCCCCTCAGGTGTATCCCAGGTAGACGCCGCTGACCCGGTCGAGGTTACTGGTGACTCTGGTGCTGCTGCGGGTGCTGAGCCTGGGGGTGCTGACTCTGGGGGTGCTGTGCGCGGGGGTGCTGAGCCTGGGGGTGCTACTGCTGGGGGTGCTGGGCCTGAGGGTGCTACTGCGGAGGGTGCGGAGCCTGGGGGTGCTGAGCCGGGGGGTGCTGTACCTGGAGTTGCTGGGTCTGGGGGTGCTGGGTCGGGAGCTGCTGAGCCTGGGGGTGCTGAGCTGGGAGCTGCTGAGCCTGGGGGTGCTGCGTCTGGAGCTGCTGAGCCTGGGGTTTCTCCTGCTGCTGCGTCTCACCGGGAGCCCCTCTCTCCACAGGAGCTGCGCGAGTGGTTCGCTCGCCGCTGGAGGCGTGCTGCTGAGTCTGGAGGTGCTGCTGGAGCTGGAGCTGGAGCTTCTTCGACCGTCGAGGGTGCGGGTGCTGCCGGTCCCGGAGCTGCTGGACCTGCGGGTCCTCCTGGAGCTGGAGCTGCTGCTGGCGCTGGTGCTGAGCCTACTTCTGTTGGTCCTGCCGCTGGAGGTGTGGGTGGCACTGGTGCTGTCGCTGAGGGTGCTGGTGCTGTCCCTGCTGCGTCTGGAGCTGCCGCGCGGCCTCGGCCGTACTTCGTTCCGCTCCTGCAGCAGGTTCTTGGTCTTTCTCCTCCAGTAGAGGGTCCACCGCCTGTCCAGTCGCAGTCCCTGCTGGAGCCTTCCTCTCCACTGCCTGCTCCCTCTCCTTACACTGGTCCTACTGGAGGTCTTGCTGAGCGTCGTGAGCTTGCGTCTCGTCCCGCGTCGCCTGTTCGTGCTGCTCGCGCTAGTGGTCGCAGTTCGCGTCAGCGTCCTCCTCCTGTCCCTGGCACGCACCGGATGTCTTTGCGTCCGTCCACTGCTCCTCTGCGTGCCCCTTTGCCTTCTCCTCCTGAGTCCTCTCTTCCTGCGCTTGCCGACCCTGAGTCGGACTCTCTTCGTGCTGCCAGTCCTACTGTCACGCGTCTGCTTGCTACTGTCGTCACTGACCCCTCTTTTGAGTCCACTGCTGCGTCTGCTCTAGTCGCTGAGCTCGTCGACTTTGCTGCTCGCTGTCGTCTCGACTACGCTGCTAGTCTTGTTGCTGAGTCTGCGTCTGTCTGTCCTCCGTCCGTCGGGGGTGAGTGTGCTCTTGGCACGGACGTCCTAGAGGACAGGCAGGAGGAGTTACAGTGTCTAGCGGCTGCTTCACCTCATCTCGCGTCTGTACTGCTTGCCCCTGAGGGAGACCCGGATGCACTAGACATCCCGACTCCGCGTTCTTACGCGGAGGCCGTAGAGGGTCCCTACTCCTCTCAGTGGCAGGTAGCTATGGATGCAGAGATGGCTTCCTGGAAGTCCACAGGCACCTACGTTGACGCGGTTCCCCCTCCTGGGGCGAACATGGTCAGTGGCATGTGGACCTTCAGGGTGAAGCGGCCGCCGGGCTCTCCACCTGTCTTCAAGGCACGGTACGTTGCTCGTGGCTTCAGTCAGCGGCAGGGAGTTGACTACTTTCAGACCTTCTCTCCCACCCCGAAGATGACTACTCTTCGGGTGCTGCTGCACATAGCCGCTCAGCGCGACTACGAGCTTCACTCTCTCGACTTCAGCACTGCGTTCTTGCAGGGTAGCCTGCACGAGGAGATCTGGCTTCGCCGTCCACCTGGCTTCACTGGGACTTTCCCTCCTGGCACCCAGTGGAGCCTCCGACGGCCAGTCTACGGTCTCCGCCAGGCACCGCGTGAGTGGCACGACACACTGAGGACTACGCTTGCGGCTCTTGGGTTTGCTCCTTCTACTGCTGACCCGTCGCTGTTTCTTCGCACCGACACTTCCCTGCCGCCGTTCTACATCCTCGTGTACGTCGACGACTTGGTCTTTGCCACAGCGGACACTGCTGGACTCGCCTACGTGAAGTCCGAGCTGCTGAAGAGACACACGTGCACAGACCTGGGTGAACTGCGCAGCTACCTTGGCTTGCAGATCACTCGGGACAGAGCACGCCGCACCATTACCTTGACTCAGACACACATGGTGCAGCAGGTCCTTCAGCGCTTCGGCTTCACGTACTCCTCGCCTCAGGCCACTCCTCTGCCTACTCGCCACTCACTCTCAGCTCTGCCTTCGGATGAGTCCGTAGAGTCGAGTGGTCCGTATGCAGAGCTTGTTGGCTGCCTCATGTACCTGATGACCTGCACACGACCTGACCTTGCATACCCTCTGAGCATTCTTGCACGCTATGTTGCTCCTGGGAGACACCGACCAGAGCACATGGCTGCAGCGAAGAGGGTATTGCGCTACCTGTGCAGTACGTCGGGCATGGGGCTAGTGCTTGGAGGGCGGAGTCCAGTGGTCCTTACCGGCCACGCGGACGCTTCTTGGGCTGACGACCAGGCTACGCAGTGGTCGTCACAGGGTTACACCTTCAGCCTTGGTTCCGGCTCTGTCTCGTGGCGGTCTACTCGCTCGTCTTCGGTTCTCGGCTCCAGTTGTGAGGCTGAGATCTACGCCGGGGCCATGGCTGCACAGGAGCTTCGCTGGCTCACCTACCTGCTGACTGACCTTGGAGAGCCGCCTCGTTCTCCTCCAGTGCTGTACGTAGACAACAAGGCCATGCTGGCCTTGTGTCGAGAGCAGCGCTTGGAGCACAGAACGAAGCACATTGCTCTCCGCTACTTCCTTGCTCGTGAGCTGCAGCAGCGTGGTCAGTTGCGACTTGCGTACGTGGCCTCTGAGGCCAACACTGCTGATGTGTTCACCAAGGCACTCGCGCCTTGTGACCATCAGCGCTTTTGCACCCAGCTGGGTCTTGTGCCTGTCTTGCCTCACTTGCTCTCCTCTTGACTTCACTTGTACTGTGACATATATATATACCTGCTCTTGCTTGTCTAGTTCTATATATATATGTCTGTACTCCTGCATGTGAACTGGCCTCTGGCCCTGCTCTTGTGCTCGGACTGTGTGGTGACGTTGTGATCCACCCTGAGCTTGTTCTGCGTTGCTTTACCTGACTGGTCTTGTGACCCCTTGTTCTCCCCCACTTTGCCTATGGGGGTGTGTCAGATTTATATGACATAGTTTCTGTAGGCTATAGTGGGGTAGCACATATGGGGTACAGAGTTTCTAGGGTTGCATTTGTACCCAATCTTCCATAGTCATTTCATTCCTGTTTTTCCTTGCTTCACAGAAGGAATCATTTCAGACCAAGGGACGACCTTCAAAGGTGCAGCGACAGAGCGGAAACTGAACCATCAGGTGGACTGGTGGCACGTGAAGAAAACGTTGTACAAGCTTTTCAGCAAAGAGCTTCAGGATGCAGTGCGGGCGCCGGTAGCCGTGGACAAGGCAAGTTGTATTGAGGAGTTGTGGTTGGCTACGGTGGAAGGGCTGCGGGGGTGGTTGCGAAAACGGGGTTTGGAGAAAAAAGCGAAGGCATCACTCAAATCGGATCTTGTGCAATCGGTCTGCACAGCCATGGGCACCTTTGCCTACGTGCACATGACACCCGATGAAGCAAAGTGGATGTTTCCGGAGCTGAGAAAGGTGCGACGAGTGGGGGGGGAACAGGGGGTTGTTGATGTCCCTGTGACTTATGCTGAGGTGCAAAATGGTCCAACAGGAGATAGGCGGACCACTACAAGCGATGAAGCGGTTGACGAGGCGGAAATGGGGAATGCTACAGTTGACGTGCAGTGGCCGGATGTGGAGCTTTGGAGTTACGATTTGCATCCAGTGCAAGGCGCGCGACCCTCGTCTGTGGCAAGTGCATTCATCGTGCATGCACATGCAGGTGCTGGCGATGTCTCCCGGTCAATCGGTGGGACGACTCCTTGGGCCAACGTCGACGAATTGACTGGTAAGAAGGCTCACAAATGTGAAATTTTTACTGCTCATGTGGATTGGTTACTCATTCATGTTTCCCTTCACTATTGTCGTTCACCAGGAGACGATGGCATGGGTGGTTCGGACCCACCCATGACTAACTCTGCGAGCGACAACGAGGGTGCAGTGCACGATGGTGATGCAGCAGGAAGCGGGTACGGACAGTCCCTGCCTCGGTGGGTTGGGCGCCGGAAACGTAAACGGGGTGGAGATGCGGTACACGCAGGCGATGAAGAGAGTACCGTGGCGCAGCGCTTTGGATCGCATTTTTTCCATGTGATGATGCACGCCGGGAGGATGAAGGAAGCGGGCACCCCTATGACTCCTGATAATGTGGCGAGGGAGATCATGGCTCTACGTTTGTAGACAACTACAAGTTGTTCCTCTTCGCGGGTGTAATGCTTGGTGAACCTTCAGTTCATTTGTCCCGGCTGACTACGATGTTGTGCTGGCAAGTGTGCGTCACCGATTTGAAGTGCTACTTTGCCGCTTGAACAGTGATTCATGGTGCTGTCTACTCACCATGTATGACACGCCTCTATGCTATTACCGTGCTCTGTTGGACCCTAAGCAAGGGGTTGGCTATGTTGTGAATGTTGGGTAGGGGATATATCTTACACAGCTGCATACACGAACATTTCTTCAACTCTATGTGTAGGAGCATGGTTCAATACTGAGATATGGCATACCGGTACAAAGAGCATACATTGTACTTGATTCCAACAGCCAGCTAACCCTGTCTTATTGAGGTACATAAGGTAGCCACCATAGGGCGCTGCCGAAGTGCTTGCAGAGTGCCGTGCACAGCGACATGTCGTGCACAGTTGCCTGACTTGTTGTTGGCTGATGGGTGTTGCAGCTCCCAAGCCCGCCTTACACGCAGGGACGACGGCAACAGCTAGTGCAGGGCCTTATAGGGCTGAGGTCAGCAGAGGGTATGGGGCAAGGGGTGTTGCTGAAGGCAGTCTCGAGAGGAGGCTGATACTGCGTGTGCACTGCGGCGTGGTGGATCCAGTCCTAGATCTGCTTTTGCGCAGGCGGATGGGTGGGGAGTGGGGCGAGGGAGAACAAGGGGGTGAGTGGAGAGCAAGGGTATGAGCATGGCAGGAAGGACAGTGCACAAGCCTGGTATGGGTGGCAAGCAGGTTTTGATGGATGTGGACAACACCTGGAGATGAGGGGAAAGCAGGGAATGAGATGAGGGGAAAGCAGGGAATGAGATGAGGGGAAAGCAGGGAATGAGATGAGGGGAAAGCAGGGAATGAGATGAGGGGAAAGCAGGGAATGAGATGAGGGGAAAGCAGGGAATGAGATGAGGGGAAAGCAGGGAATGAGATGAGGGGAAAGCAGGGAATGAGATGAGGGGAAAGCAGGGAATGAGATGAGGGGAAAGCAGGGAATGAGATGAGGGGAAAGCAGGGAATGAGATGAGGGGAAAGCAGGGAATGAGATGAGGGGAAAGCAGGGAATGAGATGAGGGGAAAGCAGGGAATGAGATGAGGGGAAAGCAGGGAATGAGATGAGGGGAAAGCAGGGAATGAGATGAGGGAAAGCAGGGAATGAGATGAAGGGAAAGCAGGGAATGAGATGAGGGGAAAGCAGGGAATGAGTTGAGGGGAAAGCAGGGAATGAGATGAGGGGAAAGCAGGGAATGAGTTGAGGGGAAAGCAGGGAATGAGATGAGGGGATAGCAGGGAAGGAGATGAGGGGAAAGCAGGGAAGGAGATGAGGGGAAAGCAGGGAATGAGATGAGGGGATAGCAGGGAATGAGATGAGGGGAAAGCAGGGAATGAGATGAGGGGAAAGCAGGGAATGAGATGAGGGGAAAGCAGGGAATGAGTTGAGGGGAAAGCAGGGAATGAGATGAGGGGAAAGCAGGGAAGGAGATGAGGGGAAAGCAGGGAAGGAGATGAGGGGAAAGCAGGGAATGAGATGAGGGGATAGCAGGGAATGAGATGAGGGGAAAGCCGGGAATGAGATGAGGGGAAAGCAAAAAATGAGATGAGGGGAAAGCAGGGAAGGAGATGAGGGGAAAGCAGGGAATGAGATGAGGGGAAAGCAGGGAAGGGGAGGGGGGGAAGCAGGGAAGGGGACATGGGGCAGCAGGGAAGGGGAAGGGGGGAAGCGGAAAAGGGGATAGGGGGAACCATGGAAGGGGAGGGGGGGAGCAGGGAAGGGGAGGGGGGGTGGCAGGGAAAGGGATGGGTGGAAGCCGGGAAGGGCATGGGGGGGAGCAGGTAAGGGGAAGGGGGGAAGCACGGATGGGGAGGGGGGGAAGCAGGGAAGGGGACACGGGGAAGCAGGGAAGGGGTTGGGGGAAAGTAGGGAAGGGGATTGGGGGAAGCAGGGAAGGGGAGGGGGGGAAGCAGGGAGAGGGGTGGGTGGAAGCAGGGATGTGGAGGGGGGGAGCAGGGAAGAGGATGGGGGGAAGCAGGGAAGAGGATGGGGGGAAGCACGGACGGGGAGGGGGGGAAGCAGGGAAGGGGAAGGGGGGAGGGAAGCTGGGAAGGCGATCGGGGGAAGCATGGAAGGGGAGGGGGGGAGCAGGGTAGGGGAGGGGGGGAAGCAGGGACGGGGATGGGGGAATGCAGGGAGTGGGATGGGGGGAGGCAGGGAATGGGAAGGGGGAAAGCAGGGAATGGGATGGGGGGGAGCAGGGACGGGGATGGGGGGAAGCACGGAAAGGGATGGGGGGAAGCAGGGAGGTGCATGGGTGGAAGCAGGGAAGGGGATGGGGGGAAGCAGGGAAAGGTGACAGGAAACGGGAAGGGAGACGGGAGGGATGGCAAGGGCGACGGGGAGAGAGGAAGACAGGGATTGCGAGTGGACGAGCGGGAGGCAGGGCGACGGGACGAAGGGACGGCGACGGGCGGGAGGGAGAGCGGCGTACGAAAGGGAGAGAGACGGACGGAAGAGAGTCCGATGGGCGGAAGGGAGGGCGACGGGCGGAAGGGAGAGCGGCGTGCGGAAGAGAGTCCGATGGGCGGAAGGGTGGGCGACGGGCGGAAGGGAGAGCGGCGTGCGGAAGGGAGAGCGGCGTGCGGAAGGGAGAGCGGCGTGCGGAAGGGAGAGCGGCGTGCGGAAGGGAGAGCGGCGTGCGGAAGGGAGGGTGACGGGCGGAAGGGACGGTGACGGGCGGAAGGTAGGGTGACGGGAGCGACTTGCGGATGGGCGGGCGAACAGAAGGGGAGCGCGATCGCGGACTACGCGAGGAAACGACGTACGAGAGAGCGAGAACCGTGATGTCGCGGGCAAGCGACCGCGAATGGTGGAACCTAAGGGTCGAGCTACCTAGCGCTGCATCCCGGGAGCGCATGGCGGAGCATTTGACGCGTGTTCATACGTGAGCTGTGTGCAAAAACAGCGTGTTTTGCGTGAAAAACGAGTGTGTTTGTGTATGCTTGACAATTAGTACCAGATGGTTTTCAAGTTCACTTCTGGTGAACAGTGCTGCTTTGCCTCCCGAGCCACACCTCGAGCGGGCTTTGAGTGTCGCTGGCCAATCACAGAGCACTAGGTAGCGAGAAAGCTCAACTTCGACTGGTAACTTGGTTTTTTGCGAGTTCATTTTCAGGAATCTTGAACTTGAAAAAAGCCATGTGGTACTCGGGCTTTAACACGAAGACCTCGTCTGTTGTAGCCAAGTTCGCCCAAATGAGTTTGCGGCTGCCTTATCCCTTGCCAAGTGTCAACTGTGGAACATGAGTTGCGATTTAGGCGGGGTTTCAGACTGCAGGAAAACCAGAGAATATTTGATGCCTCTGTGTAGCCAGAGCGTTCCCCGGTTCAAATCATTTTCAGTTCATCTTCGCTACCTCAAATGTTTCTGTATTTCAGAAACGACAATATTTACCTGTAACCGTGTCGCAGGCAGCTCACTCGTGCGTACTGCGCCAAAGTTCTGGTTCCGCCATAATGGAATGGTGGTTGGTTGCTGCTCGCTGGCAGCAGATTTTCGAGGTGAGGGAAGGATTCACCGCCCAACGGCCAACCGAAATTCACCTCATCACCAGCGCAGCCAACCCTTCCCCGTCAGCGAAACGAAACTACCCGCCAAGCGCAACAACCTGGGAGCCAGTCAGGCAGGTCCAGGCTTCAAAGCGGACGTCGTGATCAAATCGCTCAACTGGTTTCCAGTTCGCCCATTTCGCGCAGCACAGTGTGGCCCTGCCAGTTACCTCTGCCACGTGACTAAACAGTACCTGGCTGGCCTGGCCTGACCAAGCTTTCATTTCTATGGCGGAATGGTGGAATCTTGCAGGCAGAAAACTCACGTTGCCAGCCATCAACCTTCCCCTGGCAAACCCTTGCCTGCTCCAACCGACATCTCTCATGTTCAGTTCAGAGAATGGCCTGAATCCTGCTTCTTCAAACTGTGGTTGTACGAAATGACATGCTGTTCAAGCAGTGAGGGTCAGCTATGGTAGGGTTGTGTGTAGGAGACTAAGCGCGCCACCAGTTTTGAGCTTTAGAACCTTGTACTTTAATCTCTGGAACTCAATCCGCATAGGGTTAGCTCTGGTAGGGTCTCCTCAGCATCAACGTCAGCATTAGCACCAGCACCAGCACCAGCACCAGCACCAGCATCAGCATCAGCATTACCGTTAGCATCAGCATTGGCATCGCCGTTAGCATCGAAACACGCCAGTCATGAGGTTACGGAGCCTGCATTCCACCCTGCTGCTTCTCGTCGCCTGCGCGCTAGCAGCGAATTATCCGCTACTCGCGGATTCGCGAGTGCTGTCAAGAGCCGAGATAGACAGAATCCAAGGTAGTCGCGTTAAGTTGAGTAGTATTCAAGGTTAGTCGCTCCGACAAGCGGTTTATTCAGCACAGTGTCGTGCGCTTTGGTCTGAGCCCCCAGCCCTGACGCAAACAGGAACCGTGGATAGGTTTGAGATTCAAACTGTTTACCGTGTGTTACGCCGCATCCTCATCGACGACCTATTCTAGTTTCCGTCACGTTTTCATCGATGTCAGTTTAACGTAGTTGCAACGAATCCTAGAAACGTGCTCAGGTCGTCGCCGAGACCACTTTCTTGGTCGCATTCTCGTCGCAGCCTGACTCTCTTGCGCCCAGTCCATCTCGCCACTTCGCATTCCCTTTCCCTGCGCGCTCTGCAAACGGTCATGCGGGTTTCTAGCAGCAGCACCAGCTGTTACAAATCATGTAGATGCCCTCCCTCCCTCCCTCTCGCTCGCTCATGGCCCTCCCTCCTCCCCTACCCCCCGCGCAGCGGTGAAGGCGGCCGTTGACAGCCATGCGCGCGTGCTCGCGGGGGAGCGTTGGGTGCGCACCTATGGCAACTTCCGCGTGGCGCGGGAATTGAATATCGGCCAGACGCCTTCCGCCGCGCCTGGTACGCCGTATGTCACTGTGCTTCCGCCGCGAGTGTTTTGAGTCGTCTCAAAACACTTTTTTTATCACCTACGGCAACTTCCTCGTGGCGCGGGAAGTGAATATCGACCAGGCGCCTTCCGCCGCGCCTGGTATGCCGCGACTCACTTTGTTTCCGCGGCCGCTATGCGCCGTCGGTGCTCCTGATTACATTATTGACTTGCGCGCACCGTCACACTTCCCGCTCGTCTTCCGTCTCCTCCGCTCGTTCGTTCGTCCGCGCGCCGTCCCACCTCGTTTCTGAACTTCAATCCAACGCTTCCCGAACCTTTCCTCATCCTTCCCCCGCTCCTTTTGCCCCCCCTTCCCCCATTTCCCTCCCTCTCCCCCCGCGTAGAGGGTCCGGTGGTGGCGGCGGCGGCATCGGCGGCGCGCGAATCCATTGGGCTGCTGGGAATCAAATCTTTCTCCACCCCTCATCCTCCCCCCGCTCTTCTCTTCCCCCCACCCTCCCCCCCACTTCCGTTTTTCGTAGAGGGCCCCGTGGTAGCGGCGGCATCTGCGGCGCGCGAATCCATCGGGCTGCTGGGAATCAAATCTTTCTTCGAAGACGCCGCTGATGCCGCCAGCGGCAATGGCGCCTCTGATCCCGCCAGCGCCGATAACGGCGCCGCAGCTACAGCCGGGCCGTTTGTTGCGGCGGGGAACGACGCGAGCGTCGCGAATGCGCTTGCGAACGGCGCGACGGACAGCAGCAGCGGAGCGTCGACCTCGTCGTTGCCCTCCTCCTCCTCCGCAGCTACCACCGGGCCGTTTGTGGCGGTGGGGAACGATGCGAGCGTCGCGAATGCTCTGGAGAACGGCGGAACTGACAGCAGCAGCGGAGCCTCGTCCTCCCCCTCCTCCTCCTCGTCGTCGTCGTCCCCAGATTCAGTCCCTGTGTTCAAGGCCAAGGGGTGGATGCTCCCTCACACCCAGCAGCGTGAGTTCTCCCCGCCATCTCTTATACCTATCCAACCCTATCACAGTGCACCTCGTCTGACACGGACCCACAACCGCAAGGCGTGTGATGAGTCGATTTTTGAGTCGACTCATAAATCGACTCATCACACGTGAATTCCCTCCACCATCTCCTATACCTATCCAACCCTACCACAGTGTACCCCGTCTGACACGGACCCACTACCGCAAGGCGGGCCCCCTGTGCCAAGACGTCCGTCCCTTCTTTCCCTCCCCTCTTCCTGTCTTCCTCCTCTCCTCCCCTCCTCGTTTCCTCCCTTGCTCCTCTCCTCCCTCGATCCTCTCCTCCCTCGACCCCTCCTCCCACCAGCGTCACATATTTCCCCCAAGTCCATCGCGTTCCACGGGGGGGCAGTCCTGTCAGACCCAATCACCGTCTACCTCATCTGGCACGGCACCTGGACGGACGAGCGCAAAGCTCCCGTCGTGTGCCGGTGAACGCGCGCTAATACATGTGTACCGTCTTCCCCTCTTCATGCCCTTCCTTCCCCATCACCAGCTTCGGATGCTTCCTCCAACCCCATCGCCTTCCACCGCGGCGCGGTCCTATCCGACCCAATCACCGTCTACCTCATCTGGCACGGCACCTGGACTTATGAGCGTCTTGCTTCCTTTCGTTCCCATCTTCCCCACACGGTCCCCATCTCTCCCCGTCCACTCGGCAGCTTCAGGTGTTGCCCAAAACCCCATCGCGTTCCACGGGGGGGCAGTCCTATCGGACCCAATCACCGTCTACCTCATCTGGCACGGCACCTGGACGGACGAGCGCAAGGCGCCCGTGCGCGCGTTCATTCGGTCGCTGGCGGACGCGGGCGCGGGCGGGGCGGGGGATGGCGCGGGGCGGAGCAGCGTGGCGGGGAGTGTGCGCGAGTGGTGGAACGTCAACCGGCTGTACCATTCGGGGCGCGAGCACGTCGCTGGGAGCATCGTTCTCGGGGTGCGTTTCTTAGCAAGGGCTGATTGGGCTGGCCTGGCAGCTTGCAAGGAAGGAGAAGCGGGATGGGTGGGAGGGACCCATGGGTAGAGAGGGTTGATGCGAGGGTTGATGAGGGGTGTTGGTTGGGTGGTGAGCATGGTGAATGGGGTGGGGCGGTTTGCTGCAGGGTGGTGGTTCGAGTGCATTCATTGCCGCTCTGCTGTGAGTGAGGCACAATGCCAGAATGTCTGATACTTCTCCTCACCCGTGCTGTGCTGTGCTGTGCTGTGCTGTGCTGTGCTGTGCTGTGCTGTGCTGTGCTGTGCTGTGCTGTGCTGTGCTGTGCTGTGCTGTGCTGTGCTGTGCTGTGTTGTGCTGTGCTCTGGTGCAGACCCCCGAGGTGGAGATAGAGGCGGCGAGCAGTGGCGAGGGGCAGCCGCCCGCATCCAAGAACGAGATCAACGCCATCATCAACTACCAGGTGCGTCACAGTCACTCTGTTACAGAGCTACCACGCATTATCGCTTCCTTCTCTTCCTTGCCTCCCTTGCTTTCCAAGCTCTCACTCTCCCCCTCTCTCTCTCCATCTCTCTATCCCCCTCCATCCCCATCTCCCTTCCCGCTGCAGCTCCGTTCGCGCACGCTCCCCCGCCACGATTCAGCCATCTACGCAGTCTTCACCTCTGATTGACTTGCTCCCTCCTCCACTCACTCACTCCCCCTCTCACTCCCTCTTTCTCCCTCTCTCTATCCCCTCAATCCCCATCTCCTAAACAGCTCCGTTCGCGCACGCTCCCCCGCCACGATTCAGCCATCTACGCAGTCTTCACCTCTGATTGACTTGCTCCCTCCTCCACTCACTCACTCCCCCTCTCACTCCCTCTTTCTCCCTCTCTCTATCCCCTCAATCCCCATCTCCTAAACAGCTCCGTTCGCGCACGCTCCCCCGCCACGATTCAGCCATCTACGCAGTCTTCACCTCTGATTGACTTGCTCCCTCCTCCACTCACTCACTCCCCCTCTCACTCCCTCTTTCTCCCTCTCTCTATCCCCTCAATCCCCATCTCCTAAACAGCTCCGTTCGCGCACGCTCCCCCGCCACGATTCAGCCATCTACGCAGTCTTCACCTCTGATGACGTCGACATGGCCGGCTTCGGCTCGTCCTTTTGCGCCTTCCATGACGTCAGCACGGTGCACTTCACCTGGACGGGCATGCCGTCCAGGTTCATCCCCCAGTGCACGCATGCAGCCGCCCCAGGTAACACCTACCCCCACGGGGACAGGGCACTGGCTGGGCTGATCTCCAACTTCGCCCATGTGCTCGCCGCAGCTGCGGCGAATCCGAACCTGTTGTCTTGGTTCGACAAGGAGGGTCGGGAGGCCATGGGTCTGTGCGGTAACAACTTTGGCACGGTGTATACCAGTAGAGATCCGCTGCCGGTGGAGTACAATGCGGTGGGGAGGGGTGGAGAGCGGTTCCTGCTGCCCACGAACCTCAACCCTGTGACTGGTAGCTGCATTAACGGCCTGTCAGTCGCGCCGGGTCAATGCGGGCCCAAGTTTTTCGGATTCCCTTGTGACACAGTCACCGCGACCGAGGCTGACACCGAACCTGCTGCCGAAGCTGCCGCCGCAGGCTCGGACAGTCTGGGGAGTGGGGCAGGGTCGGGGTTGGGAGTGGTGGCAGCGAGTGTGTTTGGGGGAGAGGCGGAAAAAGCAGTGGTTGGTGGGGAGGGGGATGCAAGGAAAGTCAAGGACCCTCGAGTGGCTGAAGCAGAGGCAGCAGGGCTCGATCTATCAGTTGGGGGGAAGAACGTGGGGAGATTCTTAGAACCTGGACAGTTTGACCCGGCTAAGGGGGACAGAGACGAGGACGATGGGATCAAGGGGCAGGGTGCGGGAAGCACGGACGATTCAGGTGCGGGTGCGGGTTCGAACGTGTTTGAGAGCATGGGGTATGCGGATGGGGGTGAGAAGGAGAAGGAGGAGGAGAGGCATGAGGGAGGTGATGCGTATGGTGGTACGAAGGGTGGTGATCCGTTTGCTGTGGAAAGGGTAGGGGAAGAGGGGGTGGGGGCGGATGAGGAGGTGGGGACAGGCGAGAAGGTGGGAGCAGGTGCTGGCTCAGGGTCACAGGAGAATAGTGAGGCCAAGGGCCATGGTCATGGTGATGGTAATGGTGATGGTGATGGTGATGGTGATGGTGATGATGTGTTTCAGAGCACAGGGTACCCGGATGGCTCAGTGGACGAGGAGGAGAGCAAGCATAAGACAGGTGCTGGTGCAGGAGTTGAGGAGAAGAGTGAGGGCAGGGGAGACGGCGACAGTGATGGTGATGATGTGTTTCAGAGCACCTGGTACCCGGATGGCTCAGCGGACGAGGAGGTGGGGGCAGGGGAGGAAGTGGGGGCAGGCGCTGGTGCAGGAGCAGAGGAGAAGGGTGAGGGTAAGGGAGATGGTGACAATGATGAAGACGATGTGTTTCAGAGCACAGGGTACCCGGATGGCCCAGGGGACGAGGACGAGAGCAAGCATAAGGCAGGTGGTGGGGGAGGCGGGAGTGTGGGGGCGGAGGGGAAGGCTCAACCGGGGGAGGTGAACCCGTTTGTGCATCACTCCAACCCGGATGATGCTAATTCTGCTGCTGCTGCTGCTGCTTTGGCTGGGGGAGGTACTGCTGGTGGTGATGATGGTGGCAACGGGGAGGGTAGTACTAGTGAGGGTAGCACGGGGGATGATAGTGGCAGTGGCGTGGGTGCTGATGATGAGGAAACCAGTGAGAGTGGTGATGGGGACGTATTTGAGAGGCTTGGGTATTCTGAAGCGGGTAGGGACGTGGAGGGTGGGGAGGGAGGGGAGCAGGGTGAGGGGAGTGGGAAGGAGGATGGCAGTGGAGACGCCTCTAATGTGTTTGAAAACACAGGGTACCCCGATAGCGACCATGCCAGTGCTGCCAGTGCTGCTAGCAACGATGCACACCCATCAGCCCTGTTCCCAGGCGGCGACAGTGCACCGACTAATGTGTTCGATGACTTGGGGGACGGGGGCAGTGAGGAGGTGGGAGCGGACGGAGCGGGGGAGGGTAGCAGCAGCAAGGCGTCAGGGGGGTTGGTGTCGGGTGGGTTCCAGGCAGGGTTATCAGCGGGGTTTGAGTTTGATCTGTCGCAGTTCAAGCTGGGCGAGAGGGAAAGCCCTTCTGCTCCCCACTTGTTCCCCGACGCCGCCACTGCTGCGGCAGGGGGGGCGCAGGGGGAGGTGCAGCAGCCGCAGCAGCCGCCGCAGCAGCCGCAACAGCAGCAGGAGGGGGAGAAGTGGGTGTTTTCAGGAGTTTAGAGGGATTGGTGCACAGGAGGATTGCCGCTGGTGATCCACTCATGTTTCTGCTGCTTCAACTGCTTCGAGTGGGGCCGGCTGCTCTTGCTTCTCTTGCTGCTGGTGTGGCTTCTGTTGGAGAGTGGCATTGGTTGGATGCTGCTCTTCTCGATCATATAATAGTATATTTATTTTATTCAATCCGTTTGTGTGGTGGTGGCCGTGGTTGCACTGCAGTTTTTGTGCTCCATGTGACGCACTATTGCTAATCTGATTGGAACGTGATATTGTACCTTGTGTGTTTTAGTCTCACTTAGTCATGTGCACCTAGTGTACAGGCCTACCGTATATGGCAGTTCATAAGGTGTCTATTTTGCAGGCCACGTTAAGAGTTGAGGTAGTGTGAGTTCAACGTCAATAGTGATGTGCAAAAATATTCACGAAATTCACTGCGTGAGTCATGCCACTGTTATAAAACATTTCACGTTGGTGGTGGTGATCCCCGAGGTGTCTGCTACATACGGGCGTATGTGTTTGAACGAGAACACTGTAGTGTCCTTATGGTTCATGCTGCTGTGTGTTACTCCACACCACGGCACACGGACGTGTATATCGTACGGTACTTCTGTAAACCTCAGTCTCTGAGTGGCAAGCATCAGCACGAGCAACAGCAGTGGCAGCAGCAGCAATAGCAGCGCGGTTGATCGCAGCGACTATGAGGTCCCAGAAGCCATGCACGTTCATGCTGCGAGCCACATGTGCGTTATATATACCCCTCGTTTCTCACTCCCTTCATGCTGTACAAGCCGCAGCAGGAGCAGCGGTGGCAGCAGCAGCGGTAGCAGCGCGGTCAATCGCAGCAACTATGAGGTCCCAGAAGCCATCCACATCCATGCCGCGAGCCACATGCGCATTGGCTGGCCGCTTGCTTTGCCTCCACACGTCATACACTGTCTGCCCTGCTGAGAGCTGGAGCAGGGGGTGGGGATGGACATGGTGGGGATGGACATGGTGGGGATGGACATGGTGGGGATGGACATGGTGGGAGTGGATAGAAAGAGGGGGAGGGCGAGAGTGGGGAGAGGGCAGTGCAGCCGTGCTACCACACATCACACACTGTCTCTGGCCTGCTGACAACTAATGAGAGATTTTTTATAATTTCTCAAAAACTACTCATAGGCGCTCTCTCTGTTGGGCGCCTCTCTGTTGGGCGCCTCTCTGCTGGGCGCCTCTCTGTTGGGCGCCTCTCTGCTGGGCGCCTCGCCTCTAAAAGGCGCCTCTCCTCTAAGAGGCGTCCCTCCTCTAAGAGGCGTCCCTCCTCTAAGAGGCGTCCCTCCTCTAAGAGGCGTCCCTCCTCTACGAGGCGCCTCTCCTCTAAGTGGTGCCCCTCCTCTAAGAGGCGTCCCTCCTCTAAGAGGCGTCCCTCCTCTAAGAGGCGTCCCTCCTCCAAGAGGCGTCCCTCCTCTAAGAGGCGCCTCTCCTCTAAGTGGTGCCCCTCCTCTAAGAGGCGCCCCTCCTCTTTGAGTGGGTAAATTGTTGAGCGTTGGCGGGTGGGTGGATTGGTGAGTGGGGCCGGGTGGGTGGATGAGTTAGTGCGGACGGGTGGGTGGATGGTTGAGTGTGGGCGGGTGGGTGGATGGGTGAGCATGAGCGGGTGGGTGGATGGGTGAGTGCGGGCGGGTGGGTGGATGGATGGATGAGTGTGGGTGGGTGGGTGGATGGGTGAGTGTGGGGGGCGTAGGTGGATGGATGAGTGTGGGCAGGAGGGTGGATGGGTGAGTGTGGGCGGGTGGGTGGATGGGTGAGTGTGGGCGGGTGGGTGGATCGATGAGTGTGGAAGGGTGGGTGGATGGGTGAGTGTGGGCGGGTGGGTGGATCGATGAGTGTGGAAGGGTGGGTGGATGGGTGAGTGTGGGCGGGTGGGTGGATGGGTGAGTGTGGGCGGGTGGGTGGATCGATGAGTGTGGGAGGGTGGGCGGATCGATGAGTGTGGGAGGGTGGGCGGATGGGTGAGTGTGGGCGTCTGTGTGTGGGTGTGAGTGTATGTAAGAACGAGTGCGAGTGAGTGCAATGGAGTGCAACTGGGTGCGAGTGTGTGCGAGAGTGAATGAGTGTAAGTGAGTGAGGGATTGCGAATGAGTGTGTGCGACTGTGTGTGAATGTCAATGAGTGTGTGCAAGTGTGTGGATTGGTGCAAATGAAGTAGGCGTATGCAAATGAATGTGTGCCATTGTGTGCAAGTGCGAATGAGGGAGAGTGAGCGAAAGTGTGTGGGAGTGTGCGGGAGCGTGTGCGAGTGTGTGCGAGCGTGTGAAAGTGAGTGCGAGTGTGTGCGAGTGTGTGCGAGTGGGTGGGAGTGCATGCGAAAGGGGAGACGACATGAGGTTGAGGCAACAAGAGGGTGGCGACAAGGGGAGGACACAGTTTGAACGAGAGGCGGCTTTGAAAAAAAGACCAACATGAAGGCAGAGCGGAAACAGTACGGGCAAGAAACATGAGCAGGAAGACGTGGAGTGCTAAGATGAGGGGAAGAGTGAAGAGGAGGTGGGGGGATGAGAGGAGCTAGGCATGAAGGGTTGGCGCAGAAGCCCCGTGGAACGCATGAGATGAGTGGCGGTGTGCAACGGTGAGCAGAGCAGCAGCGCAGAGCAGATGAGATGAGGGATGCACACAGTGGGCGGGATGGCGGCGGAGACAAGCGCCCAGGACGACCACACCACTCTCGCCTGCCTTCTCACACGCCCTGCACACATCTCTGTGTGCAGTGAAGAAAAACCAAGGAAACCAATGTGACTGCAGAGCGAAAGCAACAACGGGCAAACAACATGAGCAAGAATAAGAGTAGGCAAAAGAGAGCATGGCGTGAAATGGCAAGTGCATTGGGGGGGGGGGGAGGGGGAACGGGGCGGGAAGGACATGGCAACAGCAGCGCAGAGGAGTGGCGCCCGAGTCACACCACAGAGGAGTGGCGCCCGGGTCACACCACAGAGGAGTGGCGCCCGAGTCACACCACAGAGGAGTGGCGCCCGAGTCACACCACAGAGGAGTGGCGAGGAGTGGCGCCCGAGTCACACCACAGAGGAGTGGCACCCGAGTCACACCACAGAGGAGTGGCGCCCGAGTCACACCACAGAGGAGTGGCGCCCGGGTCACACCACAGAGGAGTGGCGCCCGAGTCACACCACAGAGGAGTGGCGCCCGAGTCACACCACAGAGGAGTGGCACCCGAGTCACACCACAGAGGAGTGGCGCCCGAGTCACACCACAGAGGAGTGGCGCCCGAGTCACATCACAGAGGAGTGGCGCCCGAGTCACACCACAGAGGAGTGGCGCCCGAGTCACACCACAGAGGAGTGGCGCCCGAGTCACACAAAAGAGGAGTGGCGCCCGAGTCACACCACAGAGGAGTGGCGCCCGAGTCACACGCAGGAAAGTGGCGCCCGAGTCACACCACAGAGGAGTGGCGCCCGAGTCACACCTAAGAGGAGTGGCGCCCGAGTCACACCACAGAGTAGTGGCGCCCGAGTCACACCACAGAGGAGTGGCGCCCGAGTCACACCACAGAGGAGTGGCGCCCGAGTCACACCACAGAGGATTGGCGCCCGAGTCACACCACAGAGGAGTGGCGCCCGAGTCACACCACAGAGGAGTGGCGCCCGAGTCACACCACAGAGGAGTGGCACCCGAGTCACACCACAGAGGAGTGGCGCCCGAGTCACACAACAGAGGAGTGGCGCCCGAGTCACACCACAGAGGAGTGGCGCCCGAGTCACACCACAGAGGAGTGGCGCCCGAGTCACACCGCAGAGGAGTGGCGCCCGAGTCACACAACAGAGGAGTGGCGCCCGAGTCACACCACAGAGGAGTGGCGCCCGAGTCAGACCGCAGAGGAGTGGCGCCCGAGTCACACCACAGAGGAGTGGCGCCCGAGTCACACCACAGAGGAGTGGCGCCCGAGTCACACACAGGGGAGTGGCGCCCGAGTCACACCACAGAGGAGTGGCGCCCGGGTCACACCACAGAGGAGGGGCGCCCGAGTCACACCACAGAGGAGTGGCGCCCGAGTCTCACCACAGAGGAGTGGCGCCCGAGTCACACCACAGAGGAGTGGCGCCCGAGTCACACCACAGAGGAGTGGCGCCCGAGTCACACACAGGGGAGTGGCGCCCGAGTCACACCACAGAGGAGTGGCGCCCGGGTCACACCACAGAGGAGGGGCGCCCGAGTCACACCACAGAGGAGTGGCGCCCGAGTCACACCACAGAGGAGTGGCGCCCGAGTCACACCACAGAGGAGTGGCGCCCGAGTCACACCACAGAGGAGTGGCGCCCGAGTCACACCGCAGAGGAGTGGCGACCGAGTCACACCGCAGAGGAGTGGCGCCCGGGTCACACCGCAGAGGAGTGGCGCCCGGGTCACACCACAGAGGAGTGGCGCTCGAGTCACACCACAGAGGAGTGGCGCCCGAGTCACACACAGAGGAGTGGCGCCCGAGTCACACCACAGAGGAGTGGCGCCCGAGTCACACCACAGAGGAGTGGCGCCCGAGTCACACCATAGAGGAGTGGCGCCCGAGTCACACCACAGAGGAGTGGCGCCCGAGTCACACCACAGGAGTGGCGCCCGAGTCACACCACAGAGGAGTGGCGCCCGAGTCACACCACAGAGGAGTGGCGCCCGAGTCACACCATTGAGGAGTGGCGCCCGAGTCACACCACAGAGGAGTGGCGCCCGAGTCACACCACAGAGGAGTGGCGCCCGAGTCACACCACAGAGGAGTGGCGCCCGAGTCACACCACAGAGGAGTGGCGCCCGAGTCACACCACAGAGGAGTGGCGCCCGAGTCACACCACAGAGGAGTGGCGCCCGAGTCACACCACAGAGGAGTGGCGCCCGAGTCACACCACAGAGTGGCGCCCGAGTCACACCAGAGGAATGGCGCCCGAGTCACACCACAGAGGAGTGGCGCTCGAGTCACACCACAGAGGAGTGGCGCCCGAGTCACACCACAGAGGAGTGGCGCCCGAGTCACACCACAGAGGAGTGGCGCCCGAGTCACACCACAGTGGAGTGGCGCCCGAGTCACACCACAGAGGAGTGGCGCCCGAGTCACACCACAGAGGAGTGGCGCCCGAGTCACACCACAGAGGAGTGGCGCCCGAGTCACACCACAGAGGAGTGGCGCCCGAGTCACACCACAGAGGAGTGGCGCCCGAGTCACACCACAGAGGAGTGGCGCCCGAGTCACACCACAGAGGAGTGGCGCCCGAGTCACACACAGAGGAGTGGCGCCCGAGTCACACCACAGCGGAGTGGCGCCCGAGTCACACCACGAGGAGTGGCGCCCGAGTCACACCACAGAGGAGTGGCGCCCGAGTCACACCACAGAGGAGTGGCGCCCGAGTCACACCACAGAGGAGTGGCGCCCGAGTCACACCACAGAGGAGTGGCGCCCGAGTCACACCACAGAGGAGTGGCGCCCGAGTCACACCACAGAGGAGTGGCGCCCGAGTCACACCACAGAGGAGTGGCGCCCGAGTCACACCACAGAGTGGCGCCCGAGTCACACCAGAGGAATGGCGCCCGAGTCACACCACAGAGGAGTGGCGCTCGAGTCACACCACAGAGGAGTGGCGCCCGAGTCACACCACAGAGGAGTGGCGCCCGAGTCACACCACAGAGGAGTGGCGCCCGAGTCACACCACAGTGGAGTGGCGCCCGAGTCACACCACAGAGGAGTGGCGCCCGAGTCACACCACAGAGGAGTGGCGCCCGAGTCACACCACAGAGGAGTGGCGCCCGAGTCACACCACAGAGGAGTGGCGCCCGAGTCACACCACAGAGGAGTGGCGCCCGAGTCACACCACAGAGGAGTGGCGCCCGAGTCACACCACAGAGGAGTGGCGCCCGAGTCACACACAGAGGAGTGGCGCCCGAGTCACACCACAGCGGAGTGGCGCCCGAGTCACACCACGAGGAGTGGCGCCCGAGTCACACCACAGAGGAGTGGCGCCCGAGTCACACACAGAGGAGTGGCGCCCGAGTCACACCACAGAGGAGTGGCGCCTGAGTCACACCACAGAGGAGTGGCGCCCGAGTGACACCACAGCGGAGTGGCGCCCGAGTCACACCACAGAGGAGTGGCGCCAGAGTCACACCACAGAGGAGTGGCGCCCGAGTCACACCACAGAGGAGTGGCGCCCGAGTGACACCACAGAGGAGTGGCGCCCGAGTCACACCACAGAGGAGTGGCGCCCGAGTCACACCACACAGGAGTGGCGCCCGAGTCACACCACAGAGGAGTGGCGCCAGAGTCACACCAGAGAGGAGTGGCGCCCGAGTCACACCACAGAGGAGTGGCGCCCGAGTCACACCACAGAGGAGTGGCGCCCGAGTCACACCACAGAGGAGTGGCGCCCGAGTCACACCACAGAGGAGTGGCGCCCGAGCCACACCACAGCGGAGTGGCGCCCGAGTCACACCACAGCGGAGTGGCGCCCAAGTCACACCACAGAGGAGTGGCGCCCGCCTCACACCAGAGGAGTGGCGCCCAAGTCATACACAGAGGAGTGGCGCCCGAGTCACACCGCAGAGGAGTGGCGCCCGAGTCACACCACAGAGGAGTGGCACCCGAGTCACACACAGAGGAGTGGCGCCCGACTCACACTGCAGAGGAGTGGCGCCCGAGTCACACCACAGAGGAGTGGCACCCGAGTCACACACAGAGGAGTGGCGCCCAAATCACACCGCAGAGGAGTGGCGCCCGAGTCACACCACAGAGGAGTGGCGCCCGAGTCACACCGCACAGGAGTGGCGCCCGAGTCACACCACAAAGGAGTGGCACCCGAGTTACACACAGAGGAGTGGCGCCCAACTCACACCGGAGAGGAGTGGAGCCCGACTTGCGGAGATAACTGCTGCAACGGGAGCTAGACTACGGGCTAGGCACGTGTGCTCGTGTGATCTCTGCGTTCGTTCACTTAGTCGTTTCCTTGTGTGCACACTACTTGCTAGTTCACGGGGAAAAAATTGGCAAGAGTTCCACTAGGAAAAGTTCAGAACAATGGTACAATGAAGTTGGCATAGCAAGACTACATCAGAGCAAGCATTCAGGTCGGCCAACTGCCAGCGCAGCTTGGTCGAGCGTGTTCCAGCACGACTTGGTCGACCGCGCTCCAGCAAGGCAAAGTTGACGGCGTGCCAACGTCGCAGGTTGACGTCGTGACAGCACTGCTCACGCAGGACAGCAGTGCACCCTGCTTCGCAGTTGCGCGCAGATGATTGGTGTGCAGAGTCTCGTCACGTGCACAGCGCACACGCCACGTCAACCTCGAGCTGACGACTGCCTCTGATCCGCCACGACGACCTCGGGATACCACCACCGAGGTCGGGCTCGCCAACTTCGCCTGGGCGACCGTCGCACTCCTCCGCAGCACTTCGTCACCCAGGTAACCTGGTCGACCAGGCAACCGCGTCGACCAGCAGCTCCCGTTCGTGCCCGTCGACCTCCCAAGTCGACGACCACCTCCACGTCGACCTCCTCCACGTCGACGTCCCCTCTGGTCGACCAGCTCCACGTCGACCAGTACTCGTGGTCGACCTGCTCCTCGTCGACCAGCAGTCCGTTAGCCGACCGCCGAAGTCGGCTTCACCAAGTTGACGTCCTCCGCAGGTCGACTCCCAAGTCGACCTCCCTGAAGTCGGCGCCATCCTGAAGTCGGCGCCCGTGCAGTGGTCCTCCGTGCAGGTCCACCTCCTCGTCGACCAGCTCACCCACTGCTGCAGGTTGGCTGCTCCCTTCACACCCGACCACGAAGTCGGCTCCGCCCAAGCGAGGACGGGGCCAATACCCAACTCCCGTTGACACTCCCCTGCCGCGTTCACGCTTGGGCACCCAGCCCACACGGCAGTACAGCTCGGAGACTAGCTCGTCGACGTGCACCCAACACATAGCACGTCGTCCACCGCACCAGCCATGCAAAAGGGCATGGCACCTACTGCTGCACGTCATCGACTTCGTTGCCAACGTCGGCCAAGCGCACCTGGCCGATCGCGACGGAGCACTGGTTGAAGGCCGGATAGTGCAGCGCCTTCGTCAGGAAGTCGGCCGGCTGCTCAGCGGTTGGGATGTACTGCAGCGAGAACTTCCCGCGCTTCACCATGTGCTGCAGCCAGGCCTGTCGCTGCTCCATGTGCTTGAGGTTGCCCGTCAACCCCATGCCCTCGGCGACCGTGATGGCCGACTTGTTGTCCACGCGCAGGACAGTCGGCTTCCCGGCGTCCAGCTGCCGGAACTCTGCAAGGAGGAAGCGAAGGCGGCGTCCCTCCTTGCCAGCTTCAGTGGCCGCCACGTACTCCTACTCGGTCGACGACAACGTCGCGCACTTGATGCGCTGGCTCGACCAGGAGACTGCAGCCCCTCCGTAGGCGAACACGTAGCCGCTCGTGCTCGTCCTGTTCTGCTTGTCACCGGCGTCGTTGGCGTCCTCGTAGCCGACCAGCTCCAGCGACTCAAGTCCCCCGCCGAACTCCACGGCAGTGTCACGTGTGTTGGCGAGGTAGGCAAGGCAGCGGTCGACCTCGCGCCAGTGCTGGTCGCTCCTCACCGTGAGGCCGCTCCCCAGCTTGCTACAGGCGACGGCGATGTCCGGCCTCGTCGTCGTCGCCGCGAACTGTAGCGAGCCGACCTTCTGCCGGTACTCCTCCTCCTGCCGTTCCTGCGCCTCCTCGTCATCGAAGGTGAGCTCGGCGTAGGCACCGACCGAGACCGGCGTCTTCAGGGTGCGCCCAGTCTGCTCCTCGTCGAGGAAGTGCCTACGCAGCTTGTCGGCGTAGCCCTGCTGGTGCAGCCACAGCTTCCCCGCCGACCTGTCGTGCACGATCTCCAGCCCGAGGTACTTCTGCACCATGGCCGAGGTACACCCGGCCGGTTCTGTCGTTGAAGTAGTCCGGCTGGGACATGTACAGCACCCGATCGAGCTTGCTCTGCAGCAAGGCGTTCTTCATGTCGAGCTGCATCAGGTTGAGGTTGAGGACGGCGACGATGCTGAGGAAGATCCTCAGCGTGACGTAGCTGCTCACCGGCGCGAACGTCTCGTCATAGTCGGCGCCGTACACCTGTGTGAAGCCCTTCACGACCAGCCTCGCCTTCTCTCGCTCGACGGTGTCGTCGATGTGGTACTTCGTCGTCAACACCCACCGGTTTTTCATGACGTTCACCCCCGGCGGGCGTTCGACCAGCTCCCAAGTGCCCATGTTGAGGAGGCTGCGAATCTCCTCCTCCATGGCGGCCTTCACCGCCGGGCCCTTCCAGCTCGCCAGCGCCTCCTTCACCGTCATCGTCGAGATGTCCCAACGGTGCTCGGGGTCGGCTAGCATGTCGGGGTCGAGCTCCGGGAACTCCTCATCCTCCTCGGCGTCGTCGTACAGCAGGTCGTCGTCATCGTCCACGTCATACTCCGTGGTGAAGGCAGCGGGGACGAAGAAGTCAGGCGGCCTCCGAAGTCGGCCTGAACGCCGTGGTCCTGGCTGGACCTCCTCGGCGTCCCCTCCATCGTCACTGTCGTCGCTGCCCTCGACGTCCAGCTGCTCCTCAGCCGGCGTCCCAGCCGACTGCTCCCCTGTGGTCAGCGTCCCAGCCGACTTCTCCCCTGTGGTCGGCTCTTCTGCTGACGGCCCGGTCGCCGACTGCGCCGTGGTCGGCTTCACGGCAGCCTGCTCCCTTGTTGGCTGCTGCTCTTCGACCTGCTCCTCCCCTGTCGACTGCAATCCCACGTCGATTTGCCGCTCGTCACGTCGGCCACCGGCGATGCACTTGGCCGGCGCCGAAGGCATCCCACGACTCCCCTCATCGCCGGAGGCCGACACCAAGGTCAGCCAACGCAGGTCGACCACGAGGGGAGGGGCAGGGGTCAGAGGGTGAGGGGTAGGGGTGTGGACGTCCTCGACGTCCTCAGTAGCAAGCTCACCGACCTCGGCAAGCAGCGGCAGCGTCGCCGACGAGGTGTCAGAGGGCGGGGTGGGCGACGAGCGGCCGGGCACCGGCCCATGCTCCGTCTTCCACTCGGCCAGCGACATCTCCTCGTAGAACACCACGTCCGACGTGGTGACCACTCGGTCGGTGTCGACGTCGAGGAGCTCCCAGCCCTTGCTCGCCGCCGACACGCCAAGGTGCAGGCCCCACTTGGCCTTCGGCTTCAGCTTCCCACCATGCTGCTGCTCAGGAACAAGGAACTGCGCCATGCAGCCCCACACCCGTGCCAGCGACAAGTCGGGCTTCTTCCCAGTCAGCAGCTGGTACGACGTCGTCCCCGGCGGCAGCGTCGACCTCTCCAGGCAGTTGCGGACCCAGACGGCCTGCCGCAGAGCGAGGTGCCACCAGTGGTGCTGCACACCCATGTGCAGCAGCATTGTCTGCACCGACTCCACCACCGTCCTCATCTCCCGCTCCGCCATGCCGTTCTGCTGCGGGGTGTATGGGCAGGTCAGGTCGTGGACAATCCCCTTGCCGTTCACGAAGTCTGTGAACTGCTTCCCGAGGAACTCCCCTCCCCGGTCAGAGCGCAACATCAACACCGACTTCTTCGTCTGCCGCTCAGCCACCGCCGGCCACTGTACAAACGCCTGCAACGCATCTGACTTCTTGGCGACCGGCTTCACCCACACGCAGCGGGTCTTGCGGTCCTTCAGCAGCAAGAAGTACAGGCTGCCATCCTTGACAGTCACGCGGAACGGCCTGCACAGGTCGATGTGCACGACGGCCAGAGCGTCGTCGGCGTCGGAGCCTTGGTCGGGGAATGTGTGCCGCGCCAGTTTCCCGCCGACGCACGAGACACACGGGGAGTCGGCGTCCGTCGCCGACTTGAGGTCCAGCCCAATGGCGACCTCGTTCTTCGCCGAGCTCCGTATGGTGTCCATGCCGACGTGCGCAAGCCTCGCATGCATCCGGTCCGGCGTCGACTTCGTCTTCGAGACGATCGCCCGCAGAGCCACGACCTCCAGCGTGGTCGACGCTGACGTCTTTGTGCAGGGACGCAGGTTGGTGCAGAGGACTCGCCCAGAGTACGTCGCCCGCCCGAGCACCTCCCCTGCTACCAAGACGAGCAGCATGCCGTCTCCGTCCTCCTGCAGCTTCACGCCATGCTCCTTCAGCTGGCCGGCCGACAGCAGGTTGGCTCGCACACCCGGGACATATAACACATCGGGGATGAGCACCTCCTTCCCGGCCTCTCCTTGCAGGGCGACGGTGCCGCGGCCCTGGACATCCTGCAGCGCCCCATTGAAGCCGCGCACATGCCTGATGGCGCCACTCGGCTGCAAGTCGACGAAGGCTTCCTTCGTCCCCATCAGGTGGTGGGAGCAACCGCTGTCGAGCAGGACCACCGCCGGGTTCGCCTGCACAGCTGCCGCCACCGCCTGGAAGCCCTCTCCGGCCTTCGGCGCCAGAGAGATGGTCGGCTCCACGACGCCGACCAGCGAGCACGACGCCATCTTGTCGTCTCGCCCCTTGCCGCCTGCAGCGTAGTCGACGTCCTTCGCCGAAGTCGATGTCTTGGTCGACTGCTTCTCCTTGCACGGCTGGTTTCTTCCACGACGAGGATGACGGCTGCTTGACCTCCCACGGCCTCCCTTAGCGTCGTCGTCGTCGGAGTCACTGCGGTTGGGACACTCGAAAGAGAGATGGTCGGGGTCGCTGCACAGCCAGCACTCTCGACGTCGACCTCCTCCTCCCCGACCGCTGTCCTTGGTCGACTTCTTCTTGTCGACCTCCTTGGCCGGCTTCCAGCCACTGATACCACCATCGCCACCAGACTGTCCACGCTATCCTGGTTGGCCTCCTTGCTTCGCCGGGGCGACGAAGTTGGCCTGCGCCAAGAGTTCCTGTGACCGCTCAGCCTCCTGCATCGCCTCGTCCTGCAGGATGTACGAGGTCAGGCTGTCCTCGTTGAGCGTCGCCCTCGTGCTCGGCGCCATGGACAGCCGCTTCAGCAGGTTGTAGCTGCTAGAGAGTCCGTGCATGACATGGGTGATGTACGACGCCGTGGAGTACTGCGCGCCGGCCATCCTGATAGTGGCGAGAATTCGCCGGGCTCGGTTGCAGTAGTCAGTCGCTGTCTCCTCGTCACCCATACGCAAGTGCGTCAACTGTCCCTCCAGCTGGGCGATGAACAGGTCATCGGTGACCTGGTACGTCGACTCAATGAAGTGCCACGCCCGGTAGCCGGCGTCGATGTACTCCCGGCACCACTTCAAGGCGATCTGCACGCCCGGAGAGCAGCACCGCGAGATGACCGTGAAGGTCAACAGCTGCACGGCGCGAAACTCCGCCCGTAAATCGGGGTGGTGCTCCCCCGGCGTTGCCACGGTTCCTCGGGCGAAGCCGATCAGCCCGGCCATCTCCAGCTGGGGCTCGATGGCTTCCTTCCAGGTGAGAATGTCGAGTCGACCGACTAGTGGGGGGCTGACGGAGATCCTGTCCGGCTTGAACTTGAAGTATCCGTAGCTCGGCGCAATCCCACCTGCCGTCACCTGGGACGCCGACATCAGCGACAGCCCACTCTGTCGACCTCCGACGTCACCCCGTGAAGAGCCTGCAGCCGCTGACGACTGCATCCCTCGCGCCTAAACCCCGCCGACTTCACCGGCGTGTATCACACCTCTCTGCATCGACGTGCCTCCAGCATTGCTGCCGACTTGACCACCACCGGCGTTGACGCCCACGTCGACGCCGCCTTCGTTGTTCACCGGACGAGGAGAGGCAGGTCGAGACGGGTGCTCCGTCGCCCACATGGAGCGGAGTCCTGCCTCAACGACCGGCCAGGGCAAGTCGCCATACTCGTTGGCCTCGTGCTTCCTCCTCGCGTTCTCCAACCGTGCCTCTAGGGTGTCCACCACCCCCGCGTCACCTACGGCTCCTACCATAGTGACTACCGCACAGTTGTCGGCCTGCAACTACGAAATAGGTAAGTGGTATCTACGTCGACCTGACTGAAAGGTAAGTCGTGTGCCCTCCACGCTCACCGCACCATGCGGAGATAACTACTGCAACGGGAGCTAGACTACGGGCTAGGCACGTGTGCTCGTGTGATCTCTGCGTTTGTTCACTTAGTCGTTTCCTTGTGTGCACACTACTTGCTAGTTCACGGGGAAAAAATTGGCAAGAGTTCCACTAGGAAAAGTTCAGAACAATGGTACAATGAAGTTGGCATAGCAAGACTACATCAGAGCAAGCATTCAGGTCGGCCAACTGCCAGCGCAGCTTGGTCGAGCGTGTTCCAGCACGACTTGGTCGACCGCGCTCCAGCAAGGCAAAGTCGACGGCGTGCCAACGTCGCAGGTTGACGGCGTGACAGCGTTGCTCACGCAAGACACCAGTGCACCCTGCTTCGCAATTGCGCACAGATGATTGGTGTGCAGAGTCTCGTCACCTGCACAGCGCACACGCAACGTCAACCTCAAGCTGACGACTGCCTCTGATCCGCCACGACGACCTCGGGATACCACCACCGAGGTCGGGCTCGCCAACTTCGCCTGGACGACCGTCGCACTCCTCCGCAGCACTTCGTCACCCAGGTAACCTGGTCGACCAGGCAACCGCGTCGACCAGCAGCTCCCGTTCGTGCCCGTCGACCTCCCAAGTCGACGACCACCTCCACGTCGACCTCCTCCAGGTCGACGTCCCCTCTGGTCGACCAGCTCCACGTCGACCAGTACTCCTGGTCGACCTGCTCCTCGTCGACCAGCAGTCCGTTAGCCGACCGCCGAAGTCGGCTTTACCAAGTTGACGTCCTCCGCAGGTCGACTCCCAAGTCGACCTCCCTGAAGTCGGCGCCATCCTGAAGTCGGCGCCCGTGCAGTGGTCCCCCGTGCAGGTCCACCTCCTCGTCGACCAGCTCACCCACTGCTGCAGGTCGGCTGCTCCCTTCACACCCGACCACGAAGTCGGCTCCGCCCAAGCGAGGACGGGGCCAATACCCAACTCCCGTTGACACGACTCACACCACAGAGGAGTGGCGCCCGAGTCACACACAGAGGAGTGGCGCCCGAGTCACACCACAGAGGAGTGGCGCCCGAGTCACACAACAGAGGAGTGGCGCCCGACTCACACCACAGAGGAGTGGCGCCCGAGTCACACCAGAGATGAGTGGCGCCCGAGTCACACCACAGAGGAGTGGCGCCCGAGTCACACCACAGAGGAGTGGCGCCCGAGTCACACCACAGAGGAGTGGCGCCCGAGTCACACCACAGAGGAGTGGCGCTCGAGTCACACCACAGAGCAGTGGCGCCCGAGTCACACCACAGAGGAGTGGCGCCCGAGTCACACCACAGAGGAGTGGCGCCCGAGTCACACCACAGAGGAGTGTCGCCCGACTCACACTACAGAGGAGTGGCGCCCGAGTCACACCACAGAGAAGTGGCGCCCGAGTCACACCACAGAGGAGTGGCGCCCGAGTCACACCACAGAGGAGTGGCGCCCGAGTCACACCACAGAGGAGTGGCGCCCTAGTCACAGCACAGAGGAGTGGCGCCCGAGTCACACCAAAGAGGAGTGGCGCCCAAGTCACACCACAGAGGAGTGGCGCCCGAGTCACACCACAGAGGAGTGGCGCCCGAGTCACACCACAGAGGAGTGGCGCCCGAGTCACACCACAGAGGAGTGGCGCCCGAGTCACACCACAGAGGAGTGGCGCCCGAGTCACACCACCGAGTGGCGCCCGAGTCACACCACAGGAGTGGCGCCAGAGTCACACCACAGAGGAGTGGCGCCCGAGTCACACCACAGAGGAGAGGCGACCGAGTCACACCACAGAGGAGTGGCGCCCGAGTCACACCACAGAAGGGTGGCGCCCGAGTCACACCACAGAGGAGTGGCGCCCGACTCACACCACAGAGGAGTGGCGCCCGAGTCACACCACAGAGGAGTGGCGCCCGAGTGACACCACAGAGGAGTGGCGCCCGAGTCACACCACAGCGGAGTGGCGCCCGAGTCACACCACAGAGGAGTGGCGCCCGAGTCACACCACAGAGGAGTGGCGCCGGAGTCACACACAGAGGAGTGGCGCCCGAGTCACACCACAGAGGAGCGGCGCCCGAGTCAGACACAGAGGAGTGGCGCCCGAGTCACACCACAGAGGAGTGGCGCCCGAGTCACACCACAGAGGAGTGGCGACCGAGTCACACCACAGAGGAGTGGCGCCCGAGTCACACCACAGCGGAGTGGCGCCCAAGTCACACCACAGAGGAGTGGCGCCCGAGTCAAACCACAGAGGAGTGGCACCCGAGTCACACACAGAGGAGTGGCGCCCGAGTCACACCACAGAGGAGTGGCGCCCGAGTCACACCACTAAGGAGAGGCGACCGAGTCACACCACAGAGGAGTGGCGCCCGAGTCACACCACAGAGGAGTGGCGCCCGAGTCACACCACAGAGGAGTGGCGCCCGAGTCACACCACAGCGGAGTGGCGCCCGAGTCACACCACAGAGGAGTGGCGCCCGAGTCATACCACAGAGGAGTGGCGCCCGAGTCACACCACAGAGGAGTGGCGCCCGAGTCACACCACAGAGGAGTGGCGCCCGAGTCACACCACAGAGGAGTGGCGCCCGCGTCACACCATAGAGGAGTGGCGCCCGAGTCACACCACAGAGGAGTGGCGCCCGAGTCACACCACAGAGGAGTGGCGCCCGAGTCACACCACAGAGGAGTGGCGCCCGAGTCACACCAAAGAGGAGTGGCGCCCGAGTCACACCACAGAGGAGTTGCGCCCGAGTCACACCACAGAGGAGTGGCGCCCGAGTCACACCACAGAGGAGTGGCGCCCGAGTCACACCACAGAGGAGTGGCGCCCGAGTCACACCACAGAGGAGTGGCGCCCGAGTAACACTACAGAGGAGTGGCGCCCGAGTCACACCACAGAGGAGTGGCGCCCGAGTCACACCACAGAGGGGTGGCGCCCGAGTCACACTGCAGAGGAGTGGCGCCCGAGTCACACCACAGAGTGGCGCCCGAGTCACACCGCAGAGGAGTGGCGCCCGAGTCACACCACAGAGGAGTGGCGCCCGAGTCACACCACAGAGGAGTGGCGCCCGAGTCACACCATAGAGGAGTTGCGCCCGAGTCACACCACAGAGGAGTGGTGCCCGAGTCACACCACAGAGGAGTGGCGTCCGAGTCACACCACAGAGGAGTGGCGCCCGAGTCACACCGCAGAGGAGTGGCGCCCGAGTCCCACCGCAGAGGAGTGGCGCCCGAGTCACACCGCAGAGGAGTGGCGCCCGAGTCACACCACAGAGGAGTGGCGCCCGAGTCACACCACAGAGGAGTGGCGCCCGAGTCACACCACAGAGGAGTGGCGCCCGAGTCACACCACAGAGGAGTTGCGCCCGAGTCACACCACAGAGGAGTGGCGCCCGAGTCACACCACAGAGGAGTGGCGCCCGAGTCACCACCACAGAGGAGTGGCGCCCGAGTCACACCACAGAGGAGTGGCGCCCGAGTCGCACCACAGAGGAGTGGCGCCCGAGTCACACCTCAGAGGAGTGGCGCCCGAGTCACACCACAGAGGAGTGGCGCCCGAGTCACACCACAGAGGAGTGGCGCCCGAGTCACACCACAGAGGAGTGGCGCCCGAGTCACACCACAGAGGAGTGGCACCTGAGTCACACCACAGAGGAGTGGCGCCCGAGTCACACCACAGAGGAGTGGCGCCCGAGTCACACCACAGAGGAGTGGCGCCCGAGTCGCACCACAGAGGAGTGGCGCCCGAGTCACAACACAGAGGAGTGGCGGCCGAGTCACACCACAGAGGAGTGGCGCCCGAGTCACACCAGAGGAGTGGCGCCTGAGTCACATAGAGAGGAGTGGCGCCCGAGTCACACACAGAGGAGTGGCGCCCGAGTCACACCGCAGAGGAGTGGCGCCCGAGTCACACCACAGAGGAGTGGCGCCCGAGTCACACCACAGAGGAGTGGCGCCCGAGTCACACCACAGAGGAGTGGCGCCCGAGTCACACCAAAGAGGAGTGGCGCCCGAGTCACACCACAGAGGAGTGGCGCCCGAGTCACACCACAGAGGAGTGGCGCCCGAGTCACACCAAAGAGGAGTGGCGCCCGAGTCACACCACAGAGGAGTTGCGCCCGAGTCACACCACAGAGGAGTGGCGCCCGAGTCACACCACAGAGGAGTGGCGCCCGAGTCACACCGCAGAGGAGTGGCGCCCGAGTCACACCACAGAGGAGTGGCGCCCGAGTCACACCACAGAGGAGTTGCGCCCGAGTCACACCACAGAGGAGTGGCGCCCGAGTCACACCACAGAGGAGTGGCGTCCGAGTCACACCACAGAGGAGTGGCGCCCGAGTCACACCGCAGAGGAGTGGCGCCCGAGTCACACCGCAGAGGAGTGGCGCCCGAGTCACACCGCAGAGGAGTGGCGCCCGAGTCACACCATAGAGGAGTGGCGCCCGAGTCACACCACAGAGGAGTGGCGCCCGAGTCACACCACAGAGGAAGGCGCCCGAGTCACACCACAGAGGAGTTGCGCCCGAGTCACACCACAGAGGAGTGGCGCCCGAGTCACACCACAGAGGAGTGGCGCCCGAGTCACACGACAGAGGAGTGGCGCCCGAGTCACACCTCAGAGGAGTGGCGCCCGAGTCACATCACAGAGGAGTGGCGCCCGAGTCACACCACAGATCAGTGGCGCCCGAGTCACACCACAGAGGAGTGGCGCCCGAGTCACACCACAGAGGAGTGGCACCCGAGTCACACCACAGAGGAGTGGCGCCCGAGTCACACCACAGAGGAGTGGCGCCCGAGTCACACCACAGAGGAGTGGCGCCCGAGTCGCACCACAGAGGAGTGGCGCCCGAGTCACACCTCAGAGGAGTGGCGCCCGAGTCACACCACAGAGGAGTGGCGCCCGAGTCACACCACAGAGGAGTGGCGCCCGAGTCACACCACAGAGGAGTGGCGCCCGAGTCACACCACAGAGGAGTGGCGCCCGAGTCACACCACAGAGGAGTGGCGCCCGAGTCACACCACAGAGGAGTGGCGCCCGAGTCACACCACAGAGGAGTGGCGCCCGAGTCACACCACAGAGGAGTGGCGCCCGAGTCACACCACAGAGGAGTGGCGCCCGAGTCACACCACAGAGGAGTGGCGCCCGAGTCACACCACAGAGGAGTGGCGTCCGAGTCACACCACAGAGGAGTGGCGCCCGAGTCACACCACAGAGGAGTGGCGCCCGAGTCACACCACAGAGGAGTGGCGCCCGAGTCACACCTCAGAGGAGTGGCGCCCGAGTCACACACAGAGGAGTGGCGCCCGACTCACACCGCAGAGGAGTGGCGCCCGAGTCACACCACAGAGGAGTGGCGCCCGAGTCACACCACAGAGGAGTGGCGCCCGAGTCACACCACAGAGGAGTGGCGCCCGAGTCACACCACAGAGGAGTGGCGCCCGAGTCACACCACAGAGGAGTGGCGCCCGAGTCACACCACAGAGGAGTGGCGCCCGAGTCACACCACAGAGGAGTGGCGCCCGAGTCACACCACAGAGGAGTGGCGCCCGAAGTCACACCACAGAGGAGTGGCGCCCGAGTCACACCACAGAGGAGTGGCGCCCGAGTCACACCACAGAGGAGTGGCGTCCGAGTCACACCACAGAGGAGTGGCGCCCGAGTCACACCACAGAGGAGTGGCGCCCGAGTCACACCACAGAGGAGTGGCGCCCGAGTCACACACAGAGGAGTGGCGCCCGAGTCACACCTCAGAGGAGTGGCGCCCGAGTCACACCACGAGGAGTGGCGCCCGACTCACACCGCAGAGGAGTGGCGCCCGAGTCACACCACAGAGGAGTGGCGCCCGAGTCACACCACAGAGGAGTGGCGCCCGAGTCACACCACAGAGGAGTGGCGCCCGAGTCACACCACAGAGGAGTGGCGCCCGAGTCACACCACAGAGGAGTGGCGCCCGAGTCACACCACAGAGGAGTGGCGCCCGAGTCACACACAGGGGAGTGGCGCCCGAGTCACACCACAGAGGAGTGTCGCCCGAGTCACACCACAGAGGAGTGGCGCCCGAGTCACACCACAGATGAGTGGCACCCGAGTCACACCACCGATGAGTGGCCCCCTAGTCACACCACAGAGGAGTGGCGCCCGAGTCACACCACAGAGGAGTGGCGGCCGAGTCACACCACAGAGGAGTGGCGCCCGAGTCACACCAGAGGAGTGGCGCCTGAGTCACACACAGAGGAGTGGCGCCCGAGTCACACACAGAGGAGTGGCGCCCGAGTCACACACAGAGGAGTGGCGCCACCACAGAGGAGTGGCGCCCGAGTCACACCACAGAGGAGTGGCGCCCGAGTCACACCACTGAGGAGTGGCACCCGAGTCACACCACAGAGGAGTGGCGCCCGAGTCACACCACAGAGGAGTGGCGCCCGAGTCACACCACAGAGGAGTGGCGCCCAACTCACACACAGAGGAGTGGCGCCCGAGTCACACCACTGAGGAGTGGCACCCGAGTCACACATAGAGGAGTGGCGCCCAACTCACACCACAGAGGAGTGTCGCCCGAGTCACACCACAGAGGAGCGGCGCCCGAGTCACACCACAGAGGAGTGGCGCCCGAGTCACACCACAGAGGAGTGGCGCCCGAGTCACACCACAGAGGAGTGGCGCCCGAGTCACACCACAGAGGAGTGGCGCCTGAGTCACACCACAGAGGAGTGGCGCCCGAGTCACACGACAGCGGAGTGGCGCCCGAGTCACACCACAGAGGAGTGGCGCCCGAGTCACACCACAGAGGAGTGGCGCCCGAGTCACACCTCAGAGGAGTGGCGCCCGAGTCACACACAGAGGAGTGGCGCCCGAGTCACACACAGAGGGGTGGCGCCCGAATCACACCACAGAGGAGTGGCGCCCGAGTCACACACAGAGGAGTGGCGCCTGAGTCACACCACAGAGGAGTGGCGCCCGAGTCACACCACAGAGGAGTGGCGCCCGAGTCACACCACAGAGGAGTGGCGCCCGAGTCACACACAGAGGAGTGGCGCCCGAGTCACACCACAGAGGAGTGGCGCCCGAGTCACACCACAGAGGAGTGGCGCCCGAGTCACACCACAGAGGAGTGGCGCCCGAGTCACACCACAGAGGAGTTGCGCCCGAGTCACACCACAGAGGTGTGGCGCCCGAGTCACACCACAGAGGAGTGGCGCCCGAGTCACACCACAGAGGAGTGGCGCCTGAGTCACACACAGAGGAGTGGCGCCCGAGTCACACCACAGAGGAGTGGCGCCCGAGTCACACTACAGAGGAGTGGCGCCCGAGTCACACCACAGAGGAGTTACGCCCGAGTCACACCACAGAGGAGTGGCGCCCGAGTCACACCACAGAGGAGTGGCGCCCGAGTCACACCACAAAGGAGTGGCGCCCGAGTCACACCACAGAGGAAGGCGCCCGAGTCACACCACAGAGGAGTTGCGCCCGAGTCACACCACAGAGGAGTGGCGCCCGAGTCACACCACAGAGGAGTGGCGCCCGAGTCACACGACAGAGGAGTGGCGCCCGAGTCACACCTCAGAGGAGTGGCGCCCGAGTCACATCACAGAGGAGTGGCGCCCGAGTCACACCACAGATCAGTGGCGCCCGAGTCACACCACAGAGGAGTGGCGCCCGAGTCACACCAGAGGAGTGGCGCCTGAGTCACACACAGAGGAGTGGCGCCCGAGTCACACACAGAGGAGTGGCGCCCGAGTCACACACAGAGGAGTGGCGCCACCACAGAGGAGTGGCGCCCGAGTCACACCACAGAGGAGTGGCGCCCGAGTCACACCACTGAGGAGTGGCACCCGAGTCACACCACAGAGGAGTGGCGCCCGAGTCACACCACAGAGGAGTGGCGCCCGAGTCACACCACAGAGGAGTGGCGCCCAACTCACACACAGAGGAGTGGCGCCCGAGTCACACCACTGAGGAGTGGCACCCGAGTCACACATAGAGGAGTGGCGCCCAACTCACACCACAGAGGAGTGTCGCCCGAGTCACACCACAGAGGAGCGGCGCCCGAGTCACACCACAGAGGAGTGGCGCCCGAGTCACACCACAGAGGAGTGGCGCCCGAGTCACACCACAGAGGAGTGGCGCCCGAGTCACACCACAGAGGAGTGGCGCCTGAGTCACACCACAGAGGAGTGGCGCCCGAGTCACACGACAGCGGAGTGGCGCCCGAGTCACACCACAGAGGAGTGGCGCCCGAGTCACACCACAGAGGAGTGGCGCCCGAGTCACACCTCAGAGGAGTGGCGCCCGAGTCACACACAGAGGAGTGGCGCCCGAGTCACACACAGAGGGGTGGCGCCCGAGTCACACCACAGAGGAGTGGCGCCCGAGTCACACACAGAGGAGTGGCGCCTGAGTCACACCACAGAGGAGTGGCGCCCGAGTCACACCACAGAGGAGTGGCGCCCGAGTCACACCACAGAGGAGTGGCGCCAGAGTCACACACAGAGGAGTGGCGCCCGAGTCACACCACAGAGGAGTGGCGCCCGAGTCACACCACAGAGGAGTGGCGCCCGAGTCACACCACAGAGGAGTGGCGCCCGAGTCACACCACAGAGGAGTTGCGCCCGAGTCACACCACAGAGGTGTGGCGCCCGAGTCACACCACAGAGGAGTGGCGCCCGAGTCACACCACAGAGGAGTGGCGCCTGAGTCACACACAGAGGAGTGGCGCCCGAGTCACACCACAGAGGAGTGGCGCCCGAGTCACACTACAGAGGAGTGGCGCCCGAGTCACACCACAGAGGAGTTACGCCCGAGTCACACCACAGAGGAGTGGCGCCCGAGTCACACCACAGAGGAGTGGCGCCCGAGTCACACCACAGAGGAGTGGCGCCCGAGTCACACCACAGAGGAAGGCGCCCGAGTCACACCACAGAGGAGTTGCGCCCGAGTCACACCACAGAGGAGTGGCGCCCGAGTCACACCACAGAGGAGTGGCGCCCGAGTCACACCGACAGAGGAGTGGCGCCCGAGTCACACCTCAGAGGAGTGGCGCCCGAGTCACATCACAGAGGAGTGGCGCCCGAGTCACACCACAGATCAGTGGCGCCCGAGTCACACCACAGAGGAGTGGCGCCCGAGTCACACCACAGAGGAGTGGCACCCGAGTCACACCACAGAGGAGTGGCGCCCGAGTCACACCACAGAGGAGTGGCGCCCGAGTCACACCACAGAGGAGTGGCGCCCGAGTCGCACCACAGAGGAGTGGCGCCCGAGTCACACCTCAGAGGAGTGGCGCCCGAGTCACACCACAGAGGAGTGGCGCCCCAGTCACACCACAGAGGAAGGCGCCCGAGTCACACCACAGAGGAGTTGCGCCCGAGTCACACCACAGAGGAGTGGCGCCCGAGTCACACCACAGAGGAGTGGCGCCCGAGTCACACGACAGAGGAGTGGCGCCCGAGTCACACCTCAGAGGAGTGGCGCCCGAGTCACATCACAGAGGAGTGGCGCCCGAGTCACACCACAGAGGAGTGGCGCCCGAGTCACACACAGAGGAGTGGCGCCCGAGTCACACCTCAGAGGAGTGGCGCCCGAGTCACACACAGAGGAGTGGCGCCCGACTCACCACCGCAGAGGAGTGGCGCCCGAGTCACACCACAGAGGAGTGGCGCCCGAGTCACACCACAGAGGAGTGGCGCCTGAGTCACACCACAGAGGAGTGGCGCCCGAGTCACACCACAGAGGAGTGGCGCCCGAGTCACACCACAGAGGAGTGGCGCCCGAGTCACACCACAGAGGAGTGGCGCCCGAGTCACACACAGGGGAGTGGCGCCCGAGTCACACCACAGAGGAGTGTCGCCCGAGTCACACCACAGAGGAGTGGCGCCCGAGTCACACCACAGATGAGTGGCACCCGAGTCACACCACAGATGAGTGGCGCCCCGAGTCACACACAGAGGAGTTGCGCCCGAGTCACACCACAGAGGTGTGGCGCCCGAGTCCACACCACAGAGGAGTGGCGCCCTAGTCACACCACAGAGGAGTGGCGCCCGAGTCACACCACAGAGGAGTGGTGCCCGAGTCACACCACAGAGGTTAGTGGCCGCCCGGAGTCACACCACAGAGGATGTGGCGCCCGAGTCACACCACAGAGGAGTGGCGCCCGAGTCACACCACAGAGGAGTGGCGCCCGAGTCACACCACAGAGGAAGTGGCGCCCGAGTCACACCACAGAGGAGTGGCGCCCGAGTCACACCACAGAGGAGTGGCGCCCGAGTCACACCACAGAGGAGTGGCGCCCGAGTCACACCACAGAGGAGTGGCGCCCGAGTCACACCACAGAGGAGTGGCGCCCGAGTCACACCACAGAGGAGTGGCGCCCGCGTCACACCACAGAGGAGTGGCGCCCGAGTCACACCACAGAGGAGTGGCGTCCGAGTCACACCACAGAGTCACACCACAGAGGAGTGGCGGTCCCAAGTCACACCACAGAGGAGTGGCGCCCGAGTCACACCACAGAGGAGTGGCGCCCGAGTCACACCACCAGAGGAGTGGCGCCCGAGTCACACCACAGAGGAGTGGCGCCCGAGTCACACACAGAGGAGTGGCGCCCGAGTCACACACCAGAGGTAGTGGCGCCCGAGTCACACCACAGAGGAGTGGCGCCTCGAGGCACACCACAGAGGAGTGGCGGCCCGAGTCACACCACAGAGGAGTGGCGCCCGAGTCCACACCACAGAGGAGTGGCGCCCGAGTCACACCACAGAGGAGTGGCGCCCGAGTCACACCACAGAGGAGTGGCGCCCGAGTCACACCACAGAGGAGTGGCGCCCGAGTCACACCACAGAGGAGGTGGCGCCCGAGTCACAACCACAGAGGAGTGGCGCCGATTCACACACAGAGGAGTGGCGCCCGAGTCACACCACAGAGGAGTGGCGCCCGAGTCACACCACAGAGGAGTGGCGCCCGAGTCACACCACAGAGGAGTGGCGCCCGAGTCACACACAGAGGAGTGGCGCCCGAGTCACACCACAGAGAGTGGCGCCCGAGTCACACACAGAGGAGTGGCGCCCGAGTCACACCATCGAGGAGTGGCGCCCGAGTCACACCACGGAGGAGTGGCGCCCGACTCACACCACAGACGGAGTGGCGGCCGAGTCACACCACAGAGGAGTGGCGCCCGAGTCACACAACAGAGGAGTGGCGCCGAGTCACACCACAGAGGAGTGGCGCCCGAGTCACACCACAGAGGATGGCGCCGAGTCACACCCCAGAGGAGTGGCGCCCGAGTCACACACAGAGGAGTGGCGCCCGAGTCACACCACAGACGAGTCAGTGGCGCCCGAGTCACACCACAGAGGAGTGGCGCCCGAGTCACACACAGAGGGAGTGGCGCCCGAGTCACACCACAGGAGGAGTGTCGCCCGAGTCACACCACAGAGGAGTGGCGCCCGAGTCACACCACAGATGAGTGGCGCCCGAGTCACAACCACGAGGAGTGGCCGCCCTAGTCACACCACAGAGGAGTGGCGCCCGAGTCACACCACAGAGGAGTGGCGCCGAGTCACACCACAGAGGAGTGGCGCCCGAGTCACCCAGAGGAGTGGCGCCCTGAGTCACACACAGAGGAGTGGCGCCCGAGTCACACACAGAGGAGTGGCGCCCGAGTCACACACAGAGGAGTGGCGCCCGAGTCACACACAGAGGAGTGGCGCCCGAGTCACACCACAGAGGAGTGGCGCCCGAGTCACACCACAGAGGAGTGGCAGCCCGAGTCACACCACAGAGGAGTGGCGCCCGAGTCACACCACAGAGGAGTGGCGCCCGAGTCACACCACAGAGGAGTGGCGCCCAACGTCACACCACAGAGGAGTGGCGCCCGAGTCACACCACGAGGAGTGGCAGCCCGAGTCACACACTAGAGGAGTGGCGCCCGAGCTCACACCACAGAGGAGTGTCGCCCGAGTCACACCACAGAGGAGCGGCGCCCGAGTCACACCACAGAGGAGTGGCGCCCGAGTCACACCACAGAGGAGTGGCGCCCGAGTCACACCACAGAGGAGTGGCGCCCGAGTCACACCACAGAGGAGTGGCGCCCTGAGTCACACCACAGAGGAGTGCGCCAGAAGGTCACACCAAGGCGTGGCCCCGAGTCACACCACAGAGGAGTGGCGCCTGAGTCCACCCCACAGAGGAAGTTGGCGACCGACGAGTCACAACGACAGCGGAAGAGTGGCGCCCGAGTCACACCACAGAGGCAGCTTGGCGCCCGAGTCACACCCCAGAGGAGAAGTTGGCGCCCGGAGTCACACCTCAGAGGAGTGGCGCCCGAGTCAACAACAGAGGAGTGGCGCGCGAGTCACACACAGAGGGGGTGGCCGCCCACGAATCACCACCACATGAGGAGTGGCGCTTTCCGAGTCCACACAACAGAGGAGTGGCGCCTGAGTCCACACCACAGACGAGTTGGCGCACCGAGTCACACCACAGAGGTAAGTGAGCGCACCGAGTCCCACCACAGAGGAGTGGCGCCCGAGTCCACAACAGAGGAGTGGCGCCCGAGTCACACCACAGAGGCGTGGCGCCCCGAGACGGAGTCAACCTACCACAGAGGAGTGGCGCCCGAGTAGTCACACCACAGAGGAGTGGCGCCCGAGTCACACCACAGAGGTAGTTGCCCGCCCGAGTCACACCACAGAGGTGTGGACGCCCGAGTCACACCACAGAGGAGTGGCGCACGGAGTCTCACACCACAGAGGAGTGGCGCCCGAGTCACACCACAGAGGAGTGCGCCCGAGTCCACACCACAGAGGAGTGGCGCCCGAGTCACACCACAGAGGAGTGGCGCCCGAGTCACACCACAGAGGAGTGGCGCCCGAGTCACACCACAGAGGAGTGGCGCCCGAGTCACACCTCAGAGGAGTGGCGCCCGAGTCACACACAGAGGAGTGGCGGCCCGAGTCACACCACAGAGGAGTGGCGCCCGAGTCACACCACAGAGGAGTGGCGCCCGAGTCACACCACAGAGGAGTGGCGCCCGAGTCACACCACAGAGGAGTGGCGCCCGAGTCACACCACAGAGGAGTGGCGCCCGAGTCACACCACAGAGGAGTGCGCCCGAGTCACACCACAGAGGAGTGGCGCCCGAGTCACACCACAGAGGAGTGGCACCCGAGTCACACCACAGAGGAGTGGCGGCCCGAGTCACACCACAGAGGAGTGGCGCCCGAGTCACACCACAGAGGAGTGGCGCCCGAGCACACCACCAGAGGAGTGGCGCCGAGTCACACCACAGAGGAGTGCGCCCCGAGTCACACACAGAGGAGTGGCGCCCGAGTCACCACCACAGAGGAGTGGCGCCCGAGTCACAACCACAGAGGAGTGGCGCCGAGTCACACAGAGAGTGGCCCGAGTCACACACAGAGGAGTGGAGCCCGAAGTCACACCACAGAGGAGAGTGGCGGCCCGAGTCACACACAGAGGTAGTGGCGCCACACAGAGGAGTGCGCCGAGTCACACCACAGAGGAGTGGCGCCCCGAAGTCACACCACTAGACGGAGTGGGCACCCGAGTCCACCACCACAAGGGAGTGTGCGGCCCGAGCCTCACCACAGAGGAGTGGCGGCCACGAGTCACAGCCACAGAGGAGTGGCGCCCATCGACTCACACCACAGTAGGAGTGGCGCCCGAGTCCACCACCACTAGCAGGACGTGGCACCCGATAGTCACACCTCAGAGGAGTGGCGGCCCGAGACTCACACCACAGGAGGAGTCTGGCCAGTGTCGCCCGAGCTCACACCAGCAGAGGAGTGGCGCCCGAGTCACCACCACAGAGGAAGTGGCGCCCGAGTTCACACCACAGAGGAGTGGCGCCCGAGTCACACCACAGCAGGAAGTCGGCGACCCGAGTCACACCCACAGAGGAGTGGCGCCCTGGTCACACCACAGAGGATAGTGGTGCGCCCGAGTCCACACCGACAGAGGACGTGGGCGCCCAGAGTCCACACCACAGAGGAGTGGCGGCCCGAGTCACACCACAGAGGAGTTGGCGCCGCGTCAACACATCAGAGGAGTGGCGCCCGAGTCACACCACAGAGGAAGTGGCGCCCCCGAGTCACACACAGAGGGAGTTGGCGCCCGAGAGGAGTGGCGCCCGAGTCACACCACAGAGGAGTGGCGCCCGAGTCACACCACAGAGGAGTGGCGCCCGAGTCACACCACAGAGGAGTGGCGCCCGAGTCACACCACAGAGGAGTGGCGCCGAGTCACACCACAGAGGAGTGGCGCCCGAGTCACACCACAGAGGAGTGGCGCCCGAGTCACACCACAGAGGAGTGGCGCCCGAGTCACACCACAGAGGAGTGGCGCCCGAGTCACACCACAGAGGAGTGGCGCCCGAGTCACACCACAGAGGAGTGGGCGCCCGAGTCACACCACAGAGGAGTGGCGCCCGAGTCACACCCAGAGTAGTGGCGCCCGAGTCACACACAGAGGAGTGGCGCCCGAGTCACACCACAGAGGAGTGGCGCCCGAGTCACACCCACGAGGAGTGGCGCCAGAGTCACACACGATGGGGCGCCGAGTCACACAGAGGAGTGGCGCCGAGTCACACCACAGAGGAGTGGCGCCCGAGTCACACCACAGAGGAGTGGCGCCCGAGTCACACCACAGAGGAGTGGCGCCCGAGTCACACCACAGAGGAGTGGCGCCCGAGTCACACCACAGAGGAGTGGCGCCCGAGTCACACCACAGAGGAGTGGCGCCCGAGTCCACACCACAGAGGAGTGGCGCCCGAGTCACACCACAGAGGAGTGGCGCCCGAGTCACACCACAGAGGAGTGGCGCCCGAGTCACACCACAGAGGAGTGGCGCCCGAGTCACACCACAGAGGAGTGGCGCCCGAGTCACACCACAGAGGAGTGGCGCCGAGTCACACCACAGAGGAGTGGCGCCGAGTCACACCACAGAGGAGTGGCGCCCGAGTCACACCACAGAGGAGTGGCGCCCGAGTCACACCACAGAGGAGTGGCGCCCCGAGTCACACCACAAGAGGAGTGGCGCCCGAGTCACACCACAGAGGAAGTGGCGCCCGAGTCACACCACAGAGGAGTTGCGCCCCGAGTCACACCACAGAGGAGTGGCGCCCGAAGTCACACCACAGAGGAGTGGCGCCCGAGTCACACCACAGAGGAGTGGCGCCCGAGTCACACCTACAGAGGGAGTGGCGCCGAGTCACACCACAGAGGAGTGGCGCCCGGAGTCACACACAGAGGAGTGGCGACCGAGTCACACCACAGAGGAGTGGCGCCCGAGTCACACCACAGAGGAGTGGCGCCCGAGTCACACCACAGAGGAGTGGCGCCCGAGTCACACCACAGAGGAGTGGCGCCCGAGTCACACCACAGAGGAGTGGCGCCCGAGTCACACCACAGAGGAGTGGCGCCCGAGTCACACCACAGAGGAGTGGCGCCCGAGTCACACCACAGAGGAGTGGCGCCCGAGTCACACCACAGAGGAGTGGCGCCCGAGTCACACCACAGAGGAGTGGCGCCCGAGTCACACCACAGAGGAGTGGCGCCCGAGTCACACCACAGAGGAGTGGCGCCCGAGTCACACCACAGAGGAGTGGCGCCCGAGTCACACCACAGAGGAGTGGCGCCCGAGTCACACCACAGAGGAGTGGCGCCCGAGTCACACCACAGAGGAGTGGCGCCCGAGTCACACACAGAGGAGTGGCGCCCGAGTCACACCACAGAGGAGTGGCGCCCGAGTCACACCACAGAGGAGTGGCGCCCGAGTCACACCACAGAGGAGTGGCGCCCGAGTCACACCACAGAGGAGTGGCGCCCGAGTCACACCACAGAGGAGTGGCGCCCGAGTCACACCACAGAGGAGTGGCGCCCGAGTCACACACAGAGGAGTGGCGCCCGAGTCACACCACAGAGGAGTGGCGCCGAGTCACCCACAGAGGAGTGCGCCCGAGTCACACCACAGCGGAGTGGCGCCCGAGTCACACCACAGAGGAGTGGCGCCCGAGTCACACCACAGAGGAGTGGCGCCCGAGTCACACACAGAGGAGTGGCGCCCGAGTCACACCACAGAGGAGTGGCGCGCGAGTCACACACCGAGGGAGTGGCGCCCGAGTCACACCACAGAGGAGTGGCGCCCCCCCCCCCCCCGATGTCACACCACAGAGGAGTGGCGCCCGAGTCACACCCACAGAGGAGTGGCGCCCGAGTCACACCACAGAGGAGTGGGCGCCCGAGTCACACCACAAGAGGAGTGGCGCCCGAGTCACACACAGAGGAGTGGCGCCCCGAGTCACACCACAGAGGAGTGGCGCCCGAGTCACACCACAGAGGAGTGGCGGCCGAGTCACCACCACAGAGGAGTGGCGCCCGAGTCACACCAAGAGGAGTGGCGCCCCGAGTCACACCACAGATGGAGTGGGCGCCCGAGTCACACCCACAGCAGAGTGGCGCCCGAGTCAACACCACAGAGGAGTGGCACCACCATGAGGAGGGCGCCCTGAGTCACACCACAGAGGAGTGGCGCCCGAGTCACACCACAGAGGAGTGGCGCCCGAGTCACACCACAGAGGAGTGGCGCCTCCGAGTCACACCACAGAGGAAGTGGCGCCCGAGTCACACCACATAGGAGTGGCGCCCGAGTCACACCACAGAGGAGTGGCGCCCGAGTCACACCACAAGAGGAGTGAGCGCCCGAGTCACACACAGAGGAGTGGCGCCCGAGTCACACCACAGAGGAGTGGCGCCCCGAGTCACACACAGAGGAGTGGCGCCCGAGTCCACACCACAGAGGAGTGGGCCGAGTCACACCACAGAGGAGTGGCGCCCGAGTCACACCACAGAGGAGTGCGCGCCGAGTCACACCACAGAGGAGTGGCGCCCGAGTCACACCACAGAGGAAGTGGCGCCCGAGTCACACCACAGGAGGAGTGGCGCCCGAGTCACACCACAGAGGAGTGGCGCCCGAGTCACACCACAGAGGAGTGGCGCCCGAGTCACACCACAGAGGAGTGGCGCCCCGAGTCACACCACAGAGGAGTGGCGCCCGAGTCACACCTACAGAGGAGTGGCGCCCGAGTCACACCACAGAGGAGTGGCGCCCGAGTCACACCACAGAGGGTGGCGCCCGAAGTCACACCACAGAGGAGTGGCCGCCCGAGTCACACACAGAGGAGTGGCGCCCGAGTCACACCACAGAGGAGTGGCGCCCGAGTCACACCACAGAGGAGTGGCGCCCGAGTCACACCACAGAGGAGTTGGCGCCCGAGTCACACCACAGAGGAGTGGCGCCCGAGTCACACCACAGAGGAAGTGGCGCCCGAGTCACACCACAGAGGAGTGGCGCCCGAGTCACACCACAGAGGAGTGGCGCCGAGTCACACCACAGAGAGTGTGCGCCCCGAGTCACACCACAGAGGGTGGCGCCCGAGTCACACCACAGAGGAGTGGCGCCCGAGTCACACCACAGAGGAGTGGCGCCCGAGTCACAACACAGAGGAGTGGCGCCCGAGTCACACCACAGAGGAGTGGCGCCCGAGTCACACCTACAGAGGAGTGGCGCCCGAGGTCACACACAGAGGAGTGGCGCCCCGAGTCACACCACAGAGGAGTGGCGCCCGAGTCACACCACAGAGGAGTGGCGCCCGAGTCACACCACAGAGGAGTGGCCGCCCGAGTCACACCACAGAGGAGTGGCGCCCGAGTCACACCACAGGGAGTGGCGCCCGAGTCACACCACAGAGGAGTGGCGCCCGAGTCACACCACAGAGGAGTGGCGCCCGAGTCACACACAGAGGAGTGGCGCCCGAGTCACACCACAGAGGAGTGGCGCCCGAGTCACACCACAGAGGTAGTGGCGCCCGAGTCACACCACAGAGGAGTGGCGCCCGAGTCACACCACAGAGGAGTGGCGCCCGAGTCACACCACAGAGGAGTGGCGCCCGAGTCACACCACAGAGGAGTGGCGCCCGAGTCACACCACAGAGGAGTGGCGCCCGAGTCACACCACAGAGGAGTGGCGCCCGAGTCACACCACAGAGGAGTGGCGCCCGAGTCACACCACAGAGGAGTGGCGCCCGAGTCACACCACAGAGGAGTGGCGCCGAGTCACACCACAGAGGAGTGTGCGCCCGAGTCACACCCACAGAGGAGTGGCGCCCGAGTCACACCACAGAGGAGTGGCGCCCGAGTCACACACAGAGGAGTGGCGCCCGACGTCACACCACAGAGGAGTGGCGCCCGAGTCACACCACAGAGGAGTGGCGCCCGAGTCACACCACAGAGGAGTGGCGCCCGAGTCACACACAGAGGAGTGGCGCCCGAGTCACACCACAGAGGAGTGGCGCCCGAGTCACACCACAGAGGAGTGGCGCCCGAGTCACACCACAGAGGAGTGGCGCCCGAGTCACACCACAGAGGAGTGGCGCCCGAGTCACACCACAGAGGAGTGGCGCCCGAGTCACACCACAGAGGAGTGGCGCCCCGAGTCACACCACAGAGGAGTGGCGCCCGAGTCACACCACAGAGGAGTGGCGCCCGAGTCACACCACAGAGGAGTGGCGCCCGAGTCACACCACAGAGGAGTGGCGCCCGAGTCACACCACAGAGGAGTGGCGCCCGAGTCACACCACAGAGGAGTGGCGCCCGAGTCACACCACAGAGGAGTGGCGCCCGAGTCACACCACAGAGGAGTGGCGCCCGAGTCACACCACAGAGGAGTGGCGCCCGAGTCACACCACAGAGGAGTGGCGCCCGAGTCACACCACAGAGGAGTGGCGCCCGAGTCACACCACAGAGGAGTGGCGCCCGAGTCACACCACAGAGGAGTGGCGCCCGAGTCACACCACAGAGGAGTGGCGCCCGAGTCACACCACAGAGGAGTGGCGCCCGAGTCACACCACAGAGGAGTGGCGCCCGAGTCCACACCACCAGAGGAGTGGCGCCCGAGTCACACCACAGAGGAGTGGCGCCCGAGTCACACACAGAGGAGTGGCGCCCGAGTCACACCACAGAGGAGTGGCGCCGAGTCACACCACAGAGGAGTGGCGCCCGAGTCACACCACAGAGGAGTGTGCGCCCGAGTCACACACAGAGGAGTGGCGCCCGAGTCACACCACAGAGGAGTGGCGCCCGAGTCACACCACAGAGGAGTGGCGCCCGAGTCACACCACAGAGGAGTGGCGCCCGAGTCACACCACAGAGGTGTGGCGCCCGAGTCACACCACAGAGGTGTGGCGCCCGAGTCACACACAGAGGAGTGGCGCCCGAGTCACACACAGAGGAGTGGCGCCCGAGTCACACACAGAGGAGTGGCGCCCGAGTCACACCACAGAGGAGTGGCGCCCGAGTCACACACAGAGGAGTGGCGCCCGAGTCACACCACAGAGGAGTGGCGCCCGAGTCACACCACAGAGGAGTGGCGCCCGAGTCACACCACAGAGGAGTGGCGCCCGAGTCACACACAGAGGAGTGGCGCCCGAGTCACACCACAGAGGAGTGGCGCCCGAGTCACACCACAGAGGAGTGGCGCCCGAGTCACACCACAGAGGAGTGGCGCCCGAGTCACACCACAGAGGAGTGGCGCCCGAGTCACACCACAGAGGGAGTGGCGCCCGAGTCACACCCAGAGGAGTGGCGCCCGAGTCACACCACAGAGGAGTGGCGCCCGAGTCACACCACAGAGGAGTGGCGCCCGAGTCCACACCACAGAGGAGTGGCGCCCGAGTCACACCACAGAGGAGTGGCGCCCGAGTCACACCACAGAGGAGTGGCGCCCGAGTCACACCACAGAGGAGTGGCGCCCGAGTCACACCACAGAGGAGTGGCGCCCGAGTCACACCACAGAGGAGTGGCGCCCGAGTCACACCACAGAGGAGTGGCGCCCGAAGTCACACCACAGAGGAGTGGCGCCCGAGTCACCCACAGGGTCAGAGGAGTGGCGCCCGAGTCACACCACAGAGGAGTGGCGCCCGAGTCACACCACAGAGGAGTGGCGCCCGAGTCACACCACAGAGGAGTGGCGCCCGAGTCACACCACAGAGGAGTGGCGCCCGAGTCACACCACAGAGGAGTGGCGCCCGAGTCACACCACAGAGGAGTGGCGCCCGAGTCACACCACAGAGGAGTGGCGCCCCGAGTCACACACAGAGGAGTGGCGCCCGAGTCACACCACAGAGGAGTGGCGCCCGAGTCACACCACAGAGGAGTGGCGCCCCGAGTCACACCACAGAGGAGTGGCGCCCGAGTCACACCACAGAGGAGTGGCGCCCGAGTCACACCACAGAGGAGTGGCGCCCGAGTCACACCACAGAGGAGTGGCGCCCGAGTCACACCACAGAGGAGTGGCGCCCGAGTCACACCACAGAGGAGTGGCGCCCGAGTCACACCACAGAGGAGTGGCGCCCGAGTCACACCACAGAGGAGTGGCGCCCGAGTCACACCACAGAGGAGTGGCGCCCGAGTCACACCACAGAGGAGTGGCGCCCGAGTCACACCACAGAGGAGTGGCGCCCGAGCACACCACAGAGGGAGTGGCGCCCGAGTCACACCACAGAGGAGTGGCGCCCGAGTCACACCACAGAGGAGTGGCGCCCGAGTCACACCACAGAGGAGTGGCGCCCGAGTCACACCACAGAGGAGTTGGCGCCCGAGTCACACCACAGAGGAGTGGCGCCCGAGTCACACCACAGAGGAGTGTGCGCCCGAGTCACACCACAGAGGAGTGGCGCCCGAGTCACACCACAGAGGAGTGGCGCCCGAGTCACACCACAGAGGAGTGGCGCCGAGTCACACCACAGAGGAGTGGCGCCCGAGTCACACCACAGAGGAGTGGCGCCCGAGTCACAACCACAGAGGAGTGGCGCCCGAGTCACACCACATAGGAGTTGGCGCACCGAGTACACCACAGAGGAGTGGCGCCCGAGTCACACCACAGAGGAGTGGCGCCCGAGTCACACCACAGAGGAGTGGCGCCCGAGTCACACACAGAGGAGTGGCGCCCGAGTCACACCACAGAGGAGTGGCGCCCGAGTCCACTACAGAGGAGTGGCGGCTCCCGAGTCACACCACGAGGAGTGGCGCCCGAGTCACACCACAGAGGAGTGGCGCCCGAGTCACACCACAGAGGAGTGGGCGGCCCGAGTCAGCACCACAGAGGAGTGGCGCCCGAGTCACACCACAGAGGAGTGTGCGCTCCGAGTCACACCACAGAGGTGTGGCGCCCGAGTCACAGCACAGAGGAGTGGCGCCCGAGTCACACCACAGAGGAGTGGCGCCGAGTCACACCACAGAGGAGTGGCACACCACAGAGGAGTGGCGCCCGAGTCACACCACAGAGGAGTGGCGCCCGAGTCACACACAGAGGAGTGGCGCCCGAGTCACACCACAGAGGAGTGGCGCCCGAGTCACAGCACAGCGGAGTGGCGCCCGAGTCACACCACAGAGGAGTGGCGCCCGAGTCACACCACAGAGGAGTGGCGCCCGAGTCACACCACAGAGGAGTGGCGCCCGAGTCACACCACAGAGGAGTGGCGCCCGAGTCACACCACAGAGTGGCGCCCGAGTCACACCACAGAGGAGTGGCGCCCGAGTCACACCACAGAGGAGTGGCGCCCGAGTCACACCACAGAGGAGTGGCGCCCGAGTCACACCACAGAGGAGTGGCGCCCGAGTCACACCACAGAGGAGTGGCGCCCGAGTCACACCACAGAGGAGTGGCGCCCGAGTCACACCACAGAGGAGTGGCGCCCGAGTCACACCACAGAGGAGTGGCGCCCGAGTCACACCACAGAGGAGTGGCGCCCGAGTCACACCACAGAGGAGTGGCGCCCGAGTCACACCACAGAGGAGTGGCGCCCGAGTCACACACAGAGGAGTGGCGCCCGAGTCACACCACAGAGGAGTGGCGCCCGAGTCACACCACAGAGGAGTGGCGCCCGAGTCACACCACAGAGGAGTGGCGCCCGAGTCACACCACAGAGGAGTGGCGCCCGAGTCACACACAGAGGAGTGGCGCCCCGATCACACCACAGAGGAGTGGCGCCCGAGTCACACCACAGAGGAGTGGCGCCCGAGTCACACACAGAGGAGTGGCGCCCGAGTCACACCACAGAGGAGTGGCGCCCGAGTCACACCACAGAGGAGTGGCGCCCGAGTCACACCACAGAGGAGTGGCGCCCGAGTCACACCACAGAGGAGTGGCGCCCGAGTCACACCACAGAGGAGTGGCGCCCGAGTCACACCACAGAGGAGTGGCGCCCGAGTCACACCACAGAGGAGTGGCGCCCGAGTCACACCACAGAGGAGTGGCGCCCGAGTCACACCACAGAGGAGTGGCGCCCGAGTCACACCACAGAGGAGTGGCGCCCGAGTCACACCACAGAGGAGTGGCGCCCGAGTCACACCACAGAGGAGTGGCGCCCGAGTCACACCACAGAGGAGTGGCGCCCGAGTCACACCACAGAGGAGTGGCGCCCGAGTCACACCACAGAGGAGTGGCGCCCGAGTCACACCACAGAGGAGTGGCGCCCGAGTCACACCACAGAGGAGTGGCGCCCGAGTCACACCACAGAGGAGTGGCGCCCGAGTCACACCACAGAGGAGTGGCGCCCGAGTCACACCACAGAGGAGTGGCGCCCGAGTCACACCACAGAGGAGTGGCGCCCGAGTCACACCACAGAGGAGTGGCGCCCGAGTCACACCACAGAGGAGTGGCGCCCGAGTCACACCACAGAGGAGTGGCGCCCGAGTCACACCACAGAGGAGTGGCGCCCGAGTCACACCACAGAGGAGTGGCGCCCGAGTCACACCACAGAGGAGTGGCGCCCGGTCCCAGAGGGTCACACCACAGAGGAGTGGCGCCCGAGTCACACCACAGAGGAGTGGCGCCCGAGTCACACCACAGAGGAGTGGCGCCCGAGTCACACCACAGAGGAGTGGCGCCCGAGTCACACCACAGAGGAGTGGCGCCCGAGTCACACCACAGAGGAGTGGCGCCCGAGTCACACCACAGAGGAGTGGCGCCCGAGTCACACCACAGAGGAGTGGCGCCCGAGTCACACCACAGAGGAGTGGCGCCCGAGTCACACCACAGAGGAGTGGCGCCCGAGTCACACCACAGAGGAGTGGCGCCCGAGTCACACCACAGAGGAGTGGCGCCCGAGTCACACCACAGAGGAGTGGCGCCCGAGTCACACCACAGAGGAGTGGCGCCCGAGTCACACCACAGAGGAGTGGCGCCCGAGTCACACCACAGAGGAGTGGCGCCCGAGTCACACCACAGAGGAGTGGCGCCCGAGTCACACCACAGAGGAGTGGCGCCCGAGTCACACCACAGAGGAGTGGCGCCCGAGTCACACCACAGAGGAGTGGCGCCCGAGTCACACCACAGAGGAGTGGCGCCCGAGTCACACCACAGAGGAGTGGCGCCCGAGTCACACCACAGAGGAGTGGCGCCCGAGTCACACCACAGAGGAGTGGCGCCCGAGTCACACCACAGAGGAGTGGCGCCCGAGTCACACCACAGAGGAGTGGCGCCCGAGTCACACCACAGAGGAGTGGCGCCCGAGTCACACCACAGAGGAGTGGTGCCCGAGTCACACCACAGAGGAGTGGCGCCCGAGTCACACCACAGAGGAGTGGCGCCCGAGTCACACCACAGAGGAGTGGCGCCCGAGTCACACCACAGAGGAGTGGCGCCCGAGTCACACCACAGAGGAGTGGCTGCCCGAGTCACACCACAGAGGAGTGGCGCCCGAGTCACACCACAGAGGAGTGGCGCCCGAGTCACACCACAGAGGAGTGGCGCCCGAGTCACACCACAGAGGAGTGGCGCCCGAGTCACACCACAGAGGAGTGGCGCCCGAGTCACACCACAGAGGAGTGGCGCCCGAGTCACACCACAGAGGAGTGGCGCCCGAGTCACACCACAGAGGGAGTGGCGCCCGAGTCCACACCACAGAGGAGTGGCGCCCGAGTCACACCACAGAGGAGTGGCGCCCGAGTCACACCACAGAGGAGTGGCGCCCGAGTCACACCACAGAGGAGTGGCGCCCGAGTCACACCACAGAGGAGTGGCGCCCGAGTCACACCACAGAGGAGTGGCGCCCGAGTCACACCACAGAGGAGTGGCGCCCGAGTCACACCACAGAGGAGTGGCGCCCGAGTCACACCACAGAGGAGTGGCGCCCGAGTCACACCACAGAGGAGTGGCGCCCGAGTCACACCACAGAGGAGTGGCGCCCGAGTCACACAACAGCGGAGTGGCGCCCGAGTCACACCACAGAGGAGTGGCGCCCGAGTCACACCACAGAGGAGTGGCGCCCGAGTCACACCACAGAGGAGTGGCGCCCGAGTCACACCACAGAGGAGTGGCGACCGAGTCACACCACAGAGGAGTGGCGCCCGAGTCACACCACAGAGGAGTGGCGCCCGAGTCACACCACAGAGGAGTGGCGCCCGAGTCACACCACAGAGGAGTGGCGCCCGAGTCACACCACAGAGGAGTGGCGCTCGAGTCACACCACAGAGGAGTGGCGCCCGAGTCACACCACAGAGGAGTGGCGCCCGAGTCACACATAGAGGAGTGGCGCCCGAGTCACACCACAGATGAGTGGCGCCCGAGTAACACCACAGAGGAGTGGCGCCCGTGTCACACCACAGAGGAGTGGCGCCCGAGTCACACCACAGAGGAGTGGCGCCCGAGTCACACCACAGAGGAGTGGCGCCCGAGTCACACCACAGAGGAGTGGCGCCCGAGTCACACCACAGAGGAGTGGCACCCGAGTCACACCACAGAGGAGTTGTGCCCGAGTCACACCACAGCGGAGTGGCGCCCGAGTCACACCACAGGAGTGGCGCCCGAGTCACACCACAGAGGAGTGGCGCCCGAGTCACACCACAGAGGAGTGGCGACCGAGTCACACCACAGAGGAGTGGCGCCCGAGTCACACCACAGAGGAGTGGCGCTCGAGTCACACCACAGAGGAGTGGCGCCCGAGTCACACCACAGAGGAGTGGCGCCCGAGTCACACCACAGAGGAGTGGCGCCCGAGTCACACCACAGAGGAGAGGCGACCGAGTCACACCACAGAGGAGTGGCGCCCGAGTCACACCACAGAGGAGTGGCGCCCGAGTCACACCGCAGAGGAGTGGCGCCCGAGTCACACCACAGAGGAGTGGCGCCCGAGTCACACCACAGAGGAGTGGCGCCCGAGTCACACCACAGAGGAGTGGCGCCCGAGTCACACACTGAGGAGTGGCGCCCGAGTCACACCACAGAGGAGTGGCGCCCGACTCACACCGCAGAGGAGTGGCGCCCGAGTCACACCACAGAGGAGTGGCGCCCGAGTCACACCACAGAGGAGTGGCGCCCGAGTCACACCACAGAGGACTGGCGCCCGAGTCACACACTGAGGAGTGGCGACCGAGTCACACCACAGAGGAGTGGCGCCCGAGTCACACCACAGAGGAGTGGCACCTGAGTCACACCACAGAGGAGTTGCGCCCGAGTCACACCACAGCGGAGTGGCGCCCGAGTCACACACAGAGGAGTGGCGCCCGAGTCACACCACAGAGGAGTGGCGCCCGAGTCACACCACAGCGGAGTGGCGCCCGAGTCACACACAGAGGAGTGGCGCCCGACTCACACCACAGAGGAGTGGCGCCCGAGTCACACCAGAGGAGTGGCGCCCGAGTCACACCACAGAGGAGTGGCGACCGAGTCACACCGCAGAGGAGTGGCGCCCGAGTCACACCACAGAGGAGTGGCGCCCGAGTCATACCGCAGAGGAGTGGCGCCCGAGTCACACCACAGAGGAGTGGCGCCCGACTCACACCACAGAGGAGTGGCGCCCGAGTCACACCACAGAGGAGTGGCGCCCGAGTCACACCACAGAGGAGTGGCGCCCGAGTCACACCGCAGAGGAGTGGCGCCCGAGTCACACCACAGAGGAGTGGCGCCCGAGTCACACCACAGAGGAGAGGCGACCGACTCACACCACAGAGGAGTGGCGCCCGACTCACACCACAGAGGAGTGGCGCCCGAGTCACACCACAGCGGAGTGGCGCCCGAGTCACACCACAGGAGTGGCGCCCGAGTCACACCACAGAGGAGTGGCGCCTGAGTCACACCACAGAGGAGTGGCGATCGAGTCACACCACAGAGGAGTGGCGCCCGAGTCACACCACAGAGGAGTGGCGCCCGAGTCATACCGCAGAGGAGTGGCGCCCGAGTCACACCACAGAGGAGTGGGGCCCGAGTCATACCGCAGAGGAGTGGCGCCCGAGTCACACCACAGAGGAGTGGCGCCCGAGTCACACCACAGAGGAGTGGCACCCGAGTCACACCACAGAGGATTTGTGCCCGAGTCACACCACAGCGGAGTGGCGCCCGAGTCACACCACAGGAGTGGCGCCCGAGTCACACAACAGAGGAGTGGCGCCCGAGTCACACCACAGAGGAGTGGCGACCGAGTCACACCACAGAGGAGTGGCGCCCGAGTCATACCACAGAGGAGTGGCGCTCGAGTCACACCACAGAGGAGTGGCGCCCGAGTCACACCACAGAGGAGTGGCGCCCGAGTCACACCACAGAGGAGTGGCGCCCGAGTCACACCACAGAGGAGAGGCGACCGAGTCACACCACAGAGGAGTGGCGCCCGAGTCACACCACAGAGGAGTGGCGCCCGAGTCACACCGCAGAGGAGTGGCGCCCGAGTCACACCACAGAGGAGTGGCGCCCGAGTCACACCACAGAGGAGTGGCGCCCGAGTCACACCACAGAGGAGTGGCGCCCGAGTCACACCGCAGAGGAGTGGCGCCCGAGTCACACCACAGAGGAGTGGCGCCCGAGTCACACACTGAGGAGTGGCGCCCGAGTCACACCACAGAGGAGTGGCGCCCGACTCACACCGCAGAGGAGTGGCGCCCGAGTCACACCACAGAGGAGTGGCGCCCGAGTCACACCACAGAGGAGTGGCGCCCGAGTCACACCACAGAGGACTGGCGCCCGAGTCACACACTGAGGAGTGGCGCCCGAGTCACACCACAGAGGAGTGGCGCCCGACTCACACCACAGAGGAGTGGCGCTCGAGTCACACCGCAGAGGAGTGGCGCCCGAGTCACACCACAGAGGATTGGCGCCCGAGTCACACCACAGAGGAGTGGCGCCCGAGTCACACCACAGAGGAGTGGCGACCGAGTCACACCACAGAGGAGTGGCGCCCGAGTCACACCACAGAGGAGTGGCGCTCGAGTCACACCACAGAGGAGTGGCGCCCGAGTCACACCACAGAGGAGTGGCGCCCGAGTCACACCACAGAGGAGTGGCGCCCGAGTCACACCACAGAGGAGAGGCGACCGAGTCACACCACAGAGGAGTGGCGCCCGAGTCACACCACAGAGGAGTGGCGCCCGAGTCACACCGCAGAGGAGTGGCGCCCGAGTCACACCACAGAGGAGTGGCGCCCGAGTCACACCACAGAGGAGTGGCGCCCGAGTCACACCACAGAGGAGTGGCGCCCGAGTCACACACTGAGGAGTGGCGCCCGAGTCACACCACAGAGGAGTGGCGCCCGACTCACACCGCAGAGGAGTGGCGCCCGAGTCACACCACAGAGGAGTGGCGCCCGAGTCACACCACAGAGGAGCGGCGCCCGAGTCAGACACAGAGGAGTGGCGCCCGAGTCACACCACAGAGGAGTGGCGCCCGAGTCACACCACAGAGGAGTGGCGCCCGACTCACACCACAGAGGAGTGGCGCCCGAGTCACACCGCAGAGGAGTGGCGCCCGAGTCACACCGCAGAGGAGTGGCGCCCGAGTCACACCACAGAGGAGTGGCGCCCGAGTCACACCACAGAGGAGTGGCGCCCGAGTCACACACATAGGAGTGGCGCCCGACTCACACCACAGCGGAGTGGCGCCCAAGTCACACCACAGATGAGTGGCGCCCGAGTCACACCACAGAGGAGTGGCGCCCGAGTCACACCACAGAGGAGTGGCGCCCGAGTCACACACAGAGGAGTGGCGCCCGAGTCACACCACATAGGACTGGCGCCCGAGTCACACACTGAGGAGTGGCGCCCGAGTCACACCACAGAGGAGTGGCGCCCGAGTCACACCTCAGAGGAGTGGCGCCCGAGTCACACCGCAGAGGAGTGGCGCCCGAGTCACACCACAGAGGAGTGGCGCCCGAGTCACACCACAGAGGAGTGGCGCCCAAGTCACACGCAGAGGAGTGGCGCCCGACTCACACCACAGCGGAGTGGCGCCCGAGTCACACCACAGAGGAGTGGCGCCCGAGTCACACCACAGCTACGTTGCCAAATACGCTCTGGGTAGGGTGGCGTACCACGTATGTACGATTGCGTACTTTCGTGGTACGCTAATACGCTTCGAAATCGTGAAAAAACGCGCGGGCAGCCCGGCGAAAAAAAAAACGAAATTGAAAAAAAAAATTTGCGACGGTTATTAGGGCTTCGCGACTGGTTACGCGACCAAGCACATCGCCCAACCCACGTCTGAAATTCAAATTTCAGAATCCAAACCTCCCACCACCCCAACCACACACCACCCCACCAGACCTCTCATATCCAACCACCCCTCTCAAATGTCCAGCACGTCATGTGAGCATTTACTCGTTGACGCCTTCCTATCCTTCATTCGTTTCTCTCCTCCTCAATTTCATTCCCGAGCTCTGATCTCCCGTTTTCCTCAAGCAGTTTACCGTTCCTTAGTCGCGCCCCATGGCGTCGAACTCCACCCCTCCTAGCGCGACGAGCAATGTAGCTTCTGGTCACGCGTCTAGTAGTGCGATCAACACGCAGCCTGTTGAGGCTGGCCTTTCGAACCCCATTCTGAAACATTTTCTTATTCCCCCCCACACCAAAGGCAATCCCAAGTTTGAGGGCGGAACCAATCGCTGCGCAGTTCACCTCGCCAAGTGGAAAGGGTAAGATGGACACCCTGTCAGGCTTTGCAAGGTCGTGTCCCCGAACGTCCGTGAAGAAGTGCGTGCCATGTACGAAAACAAGGAGGAAAACAAGAGCATGAAATGAGGGGCGGATGCTGCAGCACTCGACTCCGTGCTGGGCGCGGTCACTGCTTGTGCGGAGAAGAAGGGGAAGATAACAGAATTCTTCGGTGACGAGGCAACGTGCGCCAAGGAGGACGCGGATAACGCGCTTTGCCTAATGATCTCGGCGCTGAAGCTTCCAGAGCGCATCGTGGATGATCCGGTCTTCCGCTACGCGGTCCAGTGCTTTGCGCACGCGGGACCGGGGTATGTTCCCCCCAAGAGGGGCTACGTTGGAGGGGCGGGCTTGAAGAAAGTGCGGCAGAAAATGGAGGCAGCGCTCGCCCCCGTTGCCGCGAGCTGGAAGCGGGACGGTGTCACCGTGTCGTCGGACATGATGACCGACCGTTGTGGCCGCCCGCAGGCCAACATACTCCTTGTCAACGACTCCGGCGCAGTTTTTGAGCAGGCCGTGGACTGCAACATGGAGTCGAAGACGGGGGGGTACATTGCCAGCCTTCTCCGCCCCGTCATTGATAAGGTGGGGCCGGAGAATGTGGTGGCGGTCTGCACCGATGGCGGCAGCAACTATGCATCGGCAGCGCGGAAGATTGCGGGCACATGGCCGCACATTGAGCATGTGCCATGTGCCACGCATGTCCTGGACCTGTTAATGGAATATGTGGGCAAAATGGGATGGGCGAAGGGGCTTGTGGAGAAAGGAGGGGAGATGATTACCTTCGTGCGCAACCACCACTTCACCCGTGCCTATATGAAGAAAGTGGGGGGGAAGCAGGTGCTCAAGCCTGCGGGAACCAGGTTCGGGACACAATACATAGCCATGGCCCGGCTATGTGAGGTGAGGAGTGGGCTGGCGGGGATGGTGCTCAGCGACGAGTGGAAGGTGTGGGCAGCGGGGGACAAGGATAGGAAGACTGCAGCTGAGAAATTCAGGGCTGCTGTGATGGATGAGCAGTGGTGGGGGGTGGCGGAGTTCTTTTCCTCTCTCATGGCGGTGCCATTCAAGGCCATGCGGGCCACCGACTCTTCCGCGAAAGGCATGATGGGTAAGCTGTATGACATTATGCTACAGCTTACCGAGGACATCAATGACAAGCTCGACGCTTCAGGCGACTTCTTGACTCGGACAGAGAGGGCAGACATCACCAAGATTGTGAAGGACAGGTGGGACAACTCCCTTGCCTGCCCCATGCATTTGGTTGGCCGGATCCTGAATCCGGTCAACCAGGAGGAGGGAATTTCCATGAACGATGTGGAGTGCACGAGGGTGTTCAAGGACTACATCGAGCGCCACTATGACCACGTCACCTTCAAGCGCGGCAAGGATGGTGCCCCTCGCCGCGCCTCCCTTGTGCTGCAGGAGGCATTGCTGGCCTACATCAACTTGGAGGGCAGTTTTGGCAAGCTGAGCACCATAGCTGCAAGGGAGGCAGTGAAGAAAGGGGAGATGAGCATGGTGCAGTGGTGGTCGTGGCACAGCACCGAGTACCCTGAGCTTGCCACCCTCGCATGCCGGGTTCTCACTCAGCCCGTCTCGGCTTCTTCATGCGAACGTGGCTGGGCGCAGTGGGAAGGCGTCCACACCGCCCGCCGCAACCGCCTCGGGTCCGCCAAGTGTGCGGACCTGGTTTACATTGCGCACAACTGGAACGTTGTGCGCAATTGGTACAACAAGGATGGGGGCAGCACGGTTGTGCCCGGGAACATCCCGGATGCCCCTATCCCCCGCGGCTACAACATGGACGAGGAGGAGGAGGATGACCTGCTGGGGGGGGGAAGGAGATGATGCAGTGCTGGCGGATGAGTATGGGGAAGGGGTGGTGGTGGAAAAGCCCCGCAAGGAAATAGGCTGTGGGGAAGCTCGCTAGAGGGTGGGGATTATGTGGATGAACTATGTATTTCTGGATATTTATGACATAATATATTGACATGTGTTGTTGTCGGCTTGAACCCCCCCCTGAAACAGGTTTTTTTATACCTGCCCGGGAAAAAAAGTTTTAGCTGCCCGCCAGCGTATTTTTGCGTATCAGCAGTACGCCAGCCTTGGCGTACCGCGTATATACCAAGCATATAATACGCTTACGTATTATACTTGGTACTCGTATTTAGCAACGTAGCACCACAGAGGAGTGGCGCCCGAGTCACACACAGAGGGGTGGCGCCCGAGTCACACACAGAGGAGTGGCGCCCGAGTCACACCACAGAGGAGTGGCGCCCGAGTCACACCACAGAGGAGTGGCGCCCGAGTCACACACAGAGGAGTGGCGCCCGAGTCACACCACAGAGGAGTGGCGCCCGAGTCACACCACAGAGGAGTGGCGCCCGAGTCACACCACAGAGGAGTGGCGCCCGAGTCACACCACAGAGGAGTGGCGCCCGAGTCACACCACAGAGGAGTGGCGCCCAAGTCACACCACAGAGGAGTGGCGCCCGAGTCACACACAGAGGAGTGGCGCCCGAGTCACACCACAGAGGAGTGGCGCCCGAGTCACACCACAGATGAGTGGCGCCCGAGTCACACCACAAAGGAGTGGCGCCCGAGTCACACACAGAGGAGTGGCGCCCGACTCACACCACAGAGGAGTGGCGCCCGAGTCACACCACAGATGAGTGGCGCCCGAGTCACACCACAGAGGAGTGGCGCCCGAGTCACACACCGAGGAGTTGCGCCGAGTCACACCACAGAGGAGTGGCGCCCGAGTCACACCACAGAGGAGTGGCGCCCAACTCACACCACAGAGGAGTGGCGCCCGAGTCACACCACAGAGGAGTGGCGCCCAACTCACACCACAGATGAGTGGCGCCCGAGTCACACCACAGAGGAGTGGCGCCCGAGTCACTCCACAGGGGAATGGCGCCCGAGTCACACCACAGAGGAGTGGCGCCCGAGTCACACCACAGAGGAGTGGCGCCCGAGTCACACCACAGAGCTAAGTTGCAATATACGCTTAACACCTTAAGTGTACAGCGTATGTACGCTAGCGTACACACGCTATCCGCTTTACGCTAGCGAATACGCTATACGCTCTTAGAATTTTTTTAGGGCTGCCCGACAAAAATCGCAAAAAAGATGCGGATTTCCTATGGGAGCATTTCGCCATAATCGAAATTTGAATCCGCGGTCTTGGCAAACGGGGATCTGACTTCGAAGTCGTCAGGCAAATGTTGAATTTCAGATCCCATCTAGGCATTGAAATCCATCCCTTCTACCGCATTGAACCCCACTTTATCTACAAACTCCAACCTGTCAAAATTAACCCCCCAACAAATCTCACGGTACTTACCACCCAGCCCTGTTGGCTAACCCTAACTCGTCATTTCGTTCCCGCTGTCACGCTACTTCACTTTCTAGCTACCTCCCATTGCACCGGTCATTCGGATTCAGTATTATGCAAGGGCAAGCCTTAGTGAGAATAGGGAGTATTTTTATTTCATCCTGCCCGGAAAGTTTTTTCTCTGCCCGAAAAAGCGTATCTCCAAAACGAACCCCTAAGCGGATAGCGTATGTACACTAGCATATATACGAAACGCGAATATACGCTGTACAAACTTGGCTCACGAATGTGCACTTGCAAAGGAATTTTGTTGTTACATTCGGATGCATAGAAATTTCTACAAGTTTATCACTGTAACCTCAGGCCTGTAACATGCGCTGTAGTGAACAAATAGCTTGGATCTTTGTAGATTTGAAAACGGCCAGTCAAAGAAGATAATCACGGACGAAATGCTTCCAGCTGGAACGATATGGTCTCGCCATGTTGAAGGGTGACGTACTAAGGTTTAAAAGGCCATCATCACAGCCATTTAGTGTCTCTGCACGTTACGTAAGCGCAAAGGAGGAATCATTATTTCGCGATAAAGTGAGTCCTCACCATGTGGATGGATGAGTGGAATAAGTTTAAACCTGGCCGTGATTATATCCAGGTGGCTGCCTGCACATGTAACATGAGACAAAGTACGTGACTGACGGGAGGGGTCCATTGTTATGAAGACCAAGGTAAGAACCAGTGCTGCCGATTTATTCTTCTAGCAAGATAGGTTGCCGTGCAGAGATGATTTTAAGGAGCAGCATCGAGATCTGGCTCAGAAATGTGCACCCGAAAAAGGATATTGTTGTTACATTCCGATGCATAGAAAAATCTACAAGTCAATCACATGTTGCACTACTTGCTGTAACCTCAGGACTGTAACTTGTGGTGCAGCAAACAATAACTTGAACACGGCCACTGAAAGAAGATATTTACGGACGAAAATATTTCAGCTAAAAATGGTCTCACCATGATGACGGTTGACGTATGGTACAGTTACTATGGCCATCATCACAGCTATTTTCGGTCTCTGCACGTTACGTAAGCGCGCCGTGAAGTAAGTCCTCACCATGTGGACGGATGACTGGAATAATCTTGAACATGGCCATGAAAATAACCAGGTGCCTGTCTGCACATGTAAGATGAGACAACTCACATTGTCAACATGTAATGATACGTGACTGACCGAACGGGTCCATTGACTGTTTGAAGACGAGGTAAGCACTATTGCTGCTGATTTATTCCTCTAGAAAGATAGGTTGCCGTGCACAGACTTCCAGCAGCTTAACACACTTCCGATGTCATGTTCACATGGACCTGCATTTTCCACAGACGAGACATCAGTGAATAAATAACTGAATGGTCGGCGGCTGACTTACGCTACACGTATTCTTGCCAGTACAAACAATATTTAAAAATATTGCACGCTCTCGTTGTCGTCGCTTGCTCCATGTCTAATACCGTGTCAAGGCTTCGTATGGAAGAGGATAACGGATTCCTCGTTGAAATCACAGCAGATCAAACTGTGAAAGAATGAATGCAGGCAATGCAGAATGTGAAGCTTAGTTTCCAACACTCCGCAGGAGTATCGTGGGTTCGTCATGGCCGCAATACGAAAGGTAACCTTTCACTGGCGGAGGACTCAGTGGGTCTAGACAACCATCCTGGCGTTTTGCTGTGAAATGGGGAGTGAGCTGTGGAAGTGAGACGGTTACCACATTGAAGCATGCTTGAACAAAAATACGATATAAAGTAAAAATGAATTAGGATTGGTTGATAATGCTTGCAGCCTATGCCACACAATTCCCCCCCCCCCCCCCCCCCCTCCTTTATTTCGTGATCGATAATGGTGTGAATGGATTTACCTGGTGTATTCCTTACTGGGATTTTACATCATCGTGGTTCACTCCGAACTCTCAAAAACGGTGTCGCCTCCGTACGTTGTGTGTGCTAAGCTGTCCCAACCCCACTCTGGCGGGAATCTGTCCCCTCTCATGCCACAGCCAGGAACACACTACGGCACAGTGAGGGCACATTGGCATCTTTGCATTGTGTGTGTGGTGTTGTTTCGGAAAATACGGTAGCATAGCATGAAAGGAAGCCACTGAAAATCATGTGGATGGTTCAAAATTTACGCACATGCTTGACCAGACTACCATCACATCTTTTGTTCCATATTGAGGTGTTTCAATTCAAAGAACTCTGGTATGAGAACTAGATGGACACGCACCTAAAAAGAGAGAGAATGTCATAGCAACACATTTCTATGTTTTTGCCTGCCTACCAGCAAGGCTCTCGCTAGGTTTTGGGGCTGTCTGACAGTACCCTAAAAAAGTTTTCCCCCGTCTTACGCTCGGACGACGAAATTTACATGGTCTGCATTATAAGCTGGAATAGTTTTTCTAGTCTGATAAATAAGACGGAAAAAAAAATCCTGTTAAAAGTCAACATACTGTAATCCTACCAGCAAGTCTAGTCATAGTACCTAACAGCCTAGCAGCAGTAGCAAAGGACTTCGTCAGAGTCACTAGAGCCGTACACTTCATTGCTATCAGTATCATCCTCGCTAACCACTGACTCTGGGATAGCGGTGTCAAAGTTTAGAAGAAAGAAGAGGGTTGAACTACCAAGAATGGGGATACAAATAGCAAACCCTAGAAGGGTTGTACTCGCTATAGAGCACACCACTACAGGCTAGAGCATAACATTCTAACACACCCCCATAGCCAAAGTGGGGTGTAATCAGCAGAGCAAGCAAAGCAGAACAAGCTCAGGGTGGATCATAATGTCACCACACATTTTGAGCACAAGTTCAAGAAGCAACAGTTTAAAGTTCACAAGTGTAAGCAAAGCTAGAGGCTATAGCAGAGGGCAAGTGAGGAGGAGGAGGCGAGACGAAGAGATAGGAGGCGACGACTGAAGCTGCAGACACACGGGCAACAGGAGGCACACTGGCACAGCGGCTACCGGAACAACGCTCCGTACTACTGGAGTAACTGGCCCCGCGGCTAAAAGTAGCGGCAGACGAGCAACGGACCCACGGGCGGCTGGCACAGCTGGCTACGACTGGGCTACCGGACGAAGTCCCCGGAATACAGGTGCTGCTGGCAACACGACGGCAACCTCCATTCAGCTTCCCCAAACTATCCCACCCCCCCTGACACACACCCCCTACTGCACCCCTAGGGTCACTCACACCCCACCCCCTAGCACGACTCCGTCGACTCCCACACACCCACCCCCCTCAGCGGCAGCTGCAGCAGTGGGAGACAGAGGAGGAGGAGGAGCAGGGGAGACCACACACCCGCCAACCCCCCCACTCGCCACCCCCAAACCCGAACACAGGGCAGGGCGGGATGGCGGGTAGGGAGGTTACGGGGGGGGGGGGGGGGGGTGGGGGGGGGGGCCGACGCGCGGCCTCCCTGGGCGCCAAAGTAGGCGGCAGAAGGGGCGACGCTCGCCGCCACCCCCACGTCGC